TTCAGCTGATGTTCTCATTGCAAAGAGTTTATCAGTATTTGTATTTTTCCCCCATTATGTTCCTGATAAGTTCTCTCACAGATGTGGGGGCCAAGGCATACTTTATACCCAAAATAGTGTTTCTCTCTGTTTATTTTGCAGAAACTTGTGCTGGAGTAAAAATCATGGTGTTTGGTTTTAACATCTATAGATATAAAGGGCACTTTTCACTGGCTTTGTTATAAACGTATCCAAGGGCATCTAGTAGCATTAGAAGTAGTAGTGTCTTAGCCCTTCGTCTTGCAGATGTTACAGTATGTGTGTAATCTCTTGGCATCTTGTATTTGGTTATAGCAAAATTCAGTTTGGTTCATATAAATTTTCCACTTTCTGAAAGCAGAAGCAGGCCACTCATACATATTTGAAAATCTGTTTTCAAAGCATTAGTAAAAAAATCATCCATTCCTGCATTTGCTATTGCAATGGAGGAACATTGCATACTAATACTTAATAAGTACTTCACTTATAACTGCATAGAAAGTCTTTGAATTTCTTTTGCCTCTACAAAATCGGAGGGTGGGTTGTGTACTCTTTTCGTTCCTCTGTGATATCATTCAGTGCTCTCACTGGAGCTGCAAGGGAATGGAGCCTTGTTTAAAACAAAAAGTCATAAGTGATTTAAAAGTGAAATTTAATGGAGATATGTTGGGTATGTTTATTTCTGTCTCTTCTGGCACCAGTAGCCCTGTGTCATCCAAGGCTGGAGTCATAACTTTGAATATAATGTCTTGCGAAGGGTGCTGTGTTAACATAATAACTTAAAGTTGCTGCCTTTGTTTTGTTTTAAATCTCTTAAGCCATGAAACTAAGGGAAAGTAGCTAATGCTCACAGGTAGAGAAGTATATGATGGGTTATGACTAGGAGAACAAAATTTGAGACACATTAATCCTCGCGTCGTGATTTTCAGTTCTGTTGAGAGTGAATAGGCACCTTCTGCTAGTGGTGAACTTGAGCAAATTCCAGCTATGCTGAAAGTATGTTAAATAACCATTATGAACAGGGGTATTAAACATTAATGATATTAACAAGTGCTTTTGTGACTTCTGGAAGATTGATTCCTTGTCCTCAAGTGTTATGATTTCATTAGTGCAAGATTAACTTTTCTGGTAGTTTTATTCACTGAGATGATTCAAAATGAAGTTGTGTGTGTTGTGAAATAGTGAGGCACAAAATATGAAATACGCTGAATCTTGCTTGGGGAAAAAAAATGTTGGATACACTTGAGAACATGCGTTTTTCCCCCACTATTTCTCATCATTCATAGGGTGACTGATAAGAAAAAAATAGGATACATATGGAATAACTCAACTTGGTGAGGGTTGGCCAAAGTGACAATTACTCCTGGCTTTTTTCAGCTATTCACAGGAGAGGATGGGCAGACCGTGACACAGGTACACATTCTTTATGCCTGGTCATTTGTGCCCATGGAGTTTGATTATATTGCTGAAAGTGAAATGTATCTGAAGTTCGCATAAAAGCGTGGGATTTTTTTAACCACGCTACTAATATAGCCACAACTGTCTAGACAAATTTGAGGCTTTGGAACATAGGCAAGAACTGAATTTCTCTTGTCTCTCAACATCACTGTTAACAGCTCATTAAGCAGCTCTTGAGTTATCCCTTTGGTGTTGAAAACAAAACTGTCTTACTGTTTTAACACAAAAAGCATGAGAAGGTATGGAAGGCTTTGTTAGTATTTAACCACCGTCATTCATGGGAATGAGACTTCAAAAGATAAGACAGATCATTCTTCTACTAATTGCATTTCCAGTTAAAACAGCTTTGATTGGAGTTACAATGATAGCAAGATGAGGGAGTGAGCTCTTGGCTTACCTACTGTTTGTTGGCATGGTGATGTGCTCACTTGAAGAGAGATTCCTTCCTAGTATTGTGGCCAAATTTTATGTTAATCATGCAGCAAAGCTGGCAGTGTCTATTTCCAAGAGTCGATGTGCTTGCAGACAAAAGATTTAAAAATGGATTACATATTTAAAATGCAAAAGGCTTCTAGAATACTGTTTTTGAAAGTATGAAATTCAGAATATCTTTAACCTACAATGACAAATAAAATGTTACAGGTTAGTTACCGAAATGGCTTAGAGACTGTGACAGTGAAATGAGCTTGCGCAATGGTATTTTTGCCCTGGAAGAACTAGTCCCATTTCTTTCAGAACAAGGCAAGTTCAATAGTATGCTTTAATTATACTCCATGTTGATGTTTTACAGCATCACCCTCTAGAATTCACCCAGATGCTGAAAACTTTTTAGGTTTAATACATCAGTCTCTTGTGACAATTTGAATCTTTTCCTCCAGTCCTCTTTCTTGAAGAGTCGAGAGCCCTTTATAACAACATTATGAGCACGATTATGCTGTCTGAAATAGGTGACTTTCTCATTTTGAAATCTAACAGTGCGTCATCAACCTTTGGAGAAGGCAAGGTGAAGTCAGCTGCAGCAAATTGATGGAAGAAGACTGTAGGTTGTATGTGAGAGAAGAACACTGCGTTTCTAGGGCAGAGCTCAAGAAACCATGACTGCATCAGATTCAGTGTTTTGTTTAATTGTAGAGAGCCTGCTGTTTCCAGGAAGGGGAACAAATTGTTGTAAATTCCTAACCTTTTTATGCCAGGCAGATTTTGTCTGTCTAGATCCTTAAGTCCTCTTGTGACAATTTAATAAATTGGAGAGTTATTAAATTATACCTTGTGTGTTGCATCTTTTGTAATCAGTTATGATTGAGTTCAAGATACCAAAATAAATTGCTAGGAACAGACAAACTGATGGTGACTTAAATAAAAAATTGCCGTATACCTCATTCTCAGTTTAACTTTTGGAAAGCATTTTGTTTTCCTGGGAAGGCTCTTCTGATGTATTGCAGAACTTCATGATTTGTTTTGTGGCCAAGTGGTAGGAAGTACCTGTGACTTGCAGTTTGCCTTCCAGTGGGGAGGAGGGGAAGTCTGCGATGCTAAGCCCCGAGAAGGAATCCATTCCTACAGCTCCTTGTTGTGTCTGAACCCATGTGGTAGTCTTTGCCCAGGGCCTCACAGCAGTGTATGGGTGAATTCTAGAGGGTGGTATTTGTAAACATCCGTGGAAAATAATTAAAGCATCTGATCAGGGCTTCTGCAGGGGCATTGGCGACAGCGTTCTGCCTCAACAGGCTGCAGAGTTGATTTGCATGCTTGCCACAGCTCTCCATCTTCATTTTTGTATCTCTTGAGCAAAGTTCTTCAGAAAGCACCATCATATTTTCTGTAAGACTAGAGATTTGCTTTAAATAAAATAAAAAAAACCCCAAAACCCCAAAGAACAAACTGCGCCCCACGCAGCTGCTCGCTCACTCCCCCTCCAGTGGGATGGGGAAATGAATCGGAAGGGTAAAAGTGAGAAAACTCATGGGTTGAGATAAAGACAGTTTAATAGGGAAGGCAAAAGCTGTGCACACAAGCAAAACAAGGAATTCATTCACTACTGCCCATCGGCAGGCAGGTGTTCAGCCATCTCCAGGAAAACAGGGCTCCATCACATGTAACGGTTACTTGGGAAGACAAACGCCATCACTCCAAATGTTCCCCTTCCTCCTCCTTCCCCCAGCTTTTATTGCTGAGCACAGTGTCAAGTGAAATGGGACATTGCTTTGGTCAGTTGGGGTCAGGTGTCCCAGCTGTGTCCCCTCCCAGCTTCTCGTGCATGCCCAGCCTAATCGCTGGCGGGGCAGCATGAGAAACAGAAAAGGCCTTGGTGCTGTGTAAACACTGCTCAGCAATAGCTAAAATATTGGTGTGTTACCAATGCTGTTTTGGTCACAAATCTAAAACATAGCCTCATGGGAGCTACTGTGGAGAAAATTAACTTGATCCCAGCCAAAACCAGTATGTGTAAGGAAAATCTTAACCCGTTGCATGAAAGGTTTACATGATTGCCTCTTACACTTTATAGAAGTTAGCGTTCTTGTGTTCTTTGTATCTTTCCAATAACTTAGAATATTTTATTAATATAATTCCTGCTTGTTGTGTAATACTACTTATTTAAGAAGGATGAGAGTCAGCTAAACTCAGCCTTAGGTAGTACAGTTTTTTTTAGCTGGTGACTGTTAAACCTGATAGCAGGGCTGTAGGTCAATAACTTCTTATATTATGGCTTCAGTTAGTTGTTTAAATGAAGGCAGCAGACTTGTCTACACTAGGAAGGGTTGTCATAACAGCTGACTGGAGTAGAACAGCTTGTCAACAAAAGGGTGTTTTGCTATTCTATATGAATCACTTTCCAGGTTACCTCCAGATGTTGTAATATGCTAGTGTGATATTGTACTGCAGTAAGATCAGAGTTTGCTGTCTTGCTTTCAGAAGTCCTTTTTTCCCCCACCTCTTCTACTGTCTCTTTTCACTCCTCGTTCTTGGCTGACCTGCCTTTGGTAGTCCTAACCCGTTTCAGTGGCCCTTTCAACTGGGGTGGGGAAAGTCAGGAATGGTACGTGTTAAAGCCATTTGAAGAGGCAGTCGTTAGGCCAAACTGCTGATCTAGACTGGGAGTTGGGAGATAGTGCACCTCAAGATTGGCCAGACTTAGAACCTTATCAGTTTTCCTGGCAGTTACGTGTGTCTGAGTATGTGTATCTTGTCTAGCTGGTTGCATATTTTTGTGTCTTCGTAAACCAAACCTCTTCTCTCACCTCCTCCTCCACCCCCCTCAACTGATTAAAAACAAAGCTTTGTCATCAAAATTATTCATGACTGCTGCTTTTTTACTCAGCTTGAGGGGCCAAATTTTACAGGCTTGTTGCCAGTTGGTATGTACTGCACGCAGTAGTCTTTGGTCTGATCTTTTGTAATGTTTGGAAAGATTATAGGTATGACAGCAATTTCTAGCATTTTTCATAATTTCTAGTGCAACTTTCTGAAGAAATTGAAAGCGACATGATCTAAGTAGGCTGTTATGTCTAGTACTTCTTTTTTGATAGTGTCCAACTAATTTATGTGTGATAGGATGAGAGGAAATGGCCTCAAGTTGCACCAGGGGAGGTTTAGATTGGACATGAGGAGAAATTTCTTTACTGAAAGAGTGGTTAAACATTGGAACAGGCTGCCCAGGGAAGTGGTTGAGTCACCATCCCTGGAAGTATTTAAAAGACGTGTAGATGAGGCGCTTAGGGCCATGGTTTAGTGGGCATGGTGGTGTTGGGTTGACAGTTGGACTTGATGATCTTAAAGGTCTTTTCCAACTTTTATGATTCTATGACTCAAGCCTATGATAGGCTTGGAAAGCATTCCTGAGGTTTGTTGATTTATTTGAGGCTTCACTATGGGAGCGCTGTCCAGATTGAGGATCCATTCAGATACGTGAAAGAAAAAGTAAGAATGGTAACTACACTGGAAAAAAGGTCTCAGCATCAGTTATGCAAGCCGATCAAGTGGAGCAAAGGAGCCTTAAGTTGGCTAAGGCTGTCTCTTCTGCAGAAAGTAGAACATAGAAGCAGCATAAGGAAAACTTACTTAAATTCCAACTTTGAGAGGCTGTTAACATTCTGTTCTAGCAGAAGTTGGATGTCACGAGGCATTGATCTTGATTTCAGGGTTTGCCCACACATCAGTCTCCTCCTTGAGACTTGAGAAATCCCTGTGGGTTGTACAGACATTGAAATATAATCTTTATTTGCCTTTCTGCATTTCTTTTATTGCCACTAAAAATAGGTGGTAAAACAGTGTAAACATCAAAACAAACATTGTTTAATGTTGGAGTTAGTCCTACATTAGATGCCTAAGTGGTGTTTATGCTTCCTGAATTGTTTCAAAATGTATGTATAATTTTTTTTCAAATGAAGATACCTCACATTTAATAGTCATCTTTAATGAAAGAATTAATTTTGTATTAAAGTATAGAATTTTGAAGTGGTATAAAAAAGTAGATGGTACTAACTTATATCAGACAAATTACTATTTGTTTGTTATCTGAGAAGAAAAATGGGAAATGTTTGAGCTCTGTTAGTGTTTGTAATTGATCTGATGATCTTGCCATCAGAATTTTAGGAAGATAGTGTCAGACCAACTGGCTAAGCTCTTTTGGTCTTCAAGAGATGGAATGGAAGAACAGAGGTGGGATAAACAAGTGTAGTGGAGTCCCTGGGAAAAGAAGAGTTTTATTTATACTTGGTTTAATACTTACCTATATTTTGCCTTTTGCCTTGCTTTAATGTATATTTTGCTGTGGAGACAAGTTTTCTGTAAAACCTTGAATTGGTTAATATAACTTCTGCCAGTGGTAACTTATTGTTGTAAGAGATCTGTAATCATATAGAAAGAGAAAGTAAAGTTTCTGCTTCGTTTCTCTTTTGTTGAAGCATTTGTATTGTAACCATAAGTATGGTGTTTGCCAAATGCATTTTTATCCAAGGTAACAACTTTGAAAAAAATCTTATTTTCTTCTTAAAGGTATGGAATATATGAACGATGTAGAGAGTTGGTGGAAGCAGGTTATGATGTACGACAACCAGACAAAGAAAACGTAACGCTTCTCCACTGGGCTGCAATCAACAACAGGATAGATCTGGTGAAGTATGTATTACACTTTAACTTAAACATAAACCAATCATGTCCTTAAAAATGTTGATTTCTTTCTAAGTTGTTAAATAATCTTCCCTTAAAAACTCGTTTTTTGGTCTTGAAATTTGGGGGTGGGGGAAGTAGTCAAAAGACCTAATTTGCATTTTGGCAGCAATGTTTTCATGATACAGTTAACAGAAATAAAACCTATTAAATGTCCAGAAGTCAGGCTGAGGCGCTTCTCGGATGAGATAAACCTGTGGAACAGCTGTTCATCTGCATGTGCAATTTCTTTATACTATGGTATACTTGTTGAAATACCAGATTTCTTTTTTGAGGAGGGGAAATTTGATGCTAGATGGTAGTGAATGTTTTTCAATAAGCAAGATTAATATGATGCAAGGGGCAATTTCTACTTCATTCAGCATTTCAAGAAGTTCTAACTTAAATAACTTCTTTTCATTTTAAAAACACAGCTGTTACAACAGGTAACATTGCAGCACCTCAAGTAATAACAATCTTCAATAGTGGGAGCTATGGGATTTGGGGTATTTTCTTGTTTTCAGTTTATAAAATCTGGGACATAATATTTGAGACTGTTTTAAAACCTATTATTATCTTTCAGAACATGGAGAGCTTAAATTCTGAAGGGGTAATTCTTAGTACTTGTTATTTTACAAATCATGAGTGTGTATAGAACATGTGTTGTTTTTTCTTTTTCACTACCAGTAACAAAATGATGAGTTAAATATGTGCCATTAAATCTAAATACACAAAATATTATTGAATCAGCAGGTTTCTAGAATATTTGACATGAACTGCACATCTTCAATCAGTCCAGTTTTCAATTGGCATAAACAGCACATCTTTAATCAGTCCACTCTTCAAAACAGTTCTTATGAATGAATGTGTACTTAAACATAAAAACAAATGCAAAACATCTTCATTTAAGCACATTCTCTCCATGTATGTCCATCACCAGCACCTTCATCAAACCAGGTTTTGAGTTTCTAGAAGATCTCAGGTTCACGTTTCTCATCTTGTTTTTAAAGGACTTTCTATGTCCTGACGCAGTTCTCTTAAAAGAAGATTAAATTGATAAAGATAGGTAAATAGACAAAGATTTAGATCTGATGAGAAGGACCTTGGGGTCCTGGTGAGCAGGAGGCTGACTGTGAACCAGCAATGCAGCCTTGCAGCAAAAAAGGTCAATGGTATACTGGGCCTCATTAAGAAAAACATTTCCAGCATGCTGAGGGAGGTGGTCCTTCCTCTCTACTCAACTGTTGAAGCTGAATATGTGTGTGAAGTTGTGGGTTCCCCTTTGCAAGAAAGATATGGACTTACTGGGGCGAGTCCAGTACAGGGATGCAAAGATGATTAAGGGACTGAAACATCTGACATGAGGAGAGGCTGCATGAGCTTGGACTTCTTAGCTTAGAGAAGAGAAGGCTTATCTTGTCAGTGTATATAAGATCCTCAAGGAGGATCTTATCAATGTATATAAGTACCTGGGATACCTGGTAATGTAATACCTAGAATCTTATCAATGTATATAAATATCTGATGGGAGGGAGTAAAGGAGGCAGAGCTAGACTTTTCTCAGTACTGCCCAGGGGCAAGGTAAGAGGCAGAGGGCACAAATTAAAACACACATGAAATTCCATCTGAACATCAGGAAACATGTATTTCCCTGTGCAGGTGACTGCGCATTGGCACAGGTTGCCCAGAGAGCTTGTGAACTCTCCATCCTTGGAGACGTTCAGAACGCAACTGGACGTAATCCTAGACAACATGATCTAGATGCTTTGTTCAGGGATGGTTAGACTAGATGATCTCCAAAGGTCCCTTCCAAACTAAACGATTCTGTGAAATAATTCAGTGTTTCTGAAGGAATTTTTTTTATTATACACAGTGGATAGCACAACAGGTTTTATGTCTTTATTGTGGATTATTAGCATTATTTGTTTGTGGATCCAAATATTGTGGATATTTAGCATTTAGTGTTGTATTTTACCTTTTATTTCCCCTCCAAGCATGTTGCTAACAATTCAAAATCAAAATGTCAGATTCGGGTAGATGGAAGTCTGTGCTTAAATCTCTATCTGATTTCCAGTTAGGTCTTTATTATACATTAGGGAGATCTCTCCACCTGCATTTGAGTGCTGGAAACTTGTTCTGAGAATTTTAATTCAACATAACTTCGATTGTACCAGCCATATCTCTTTCAAGTTATTTTAGTATGAGCCCTGACAATTGAATGTTCTTAAATCTAATGTGTCTAATTCTTCCTTTTTCCTCAACAATATGTCAAAGCTCTTGTCCCTTCTTGATGCATCTCTACCACTGTGACAAACTGCATTGCATTTCCTTCCTGCTGTGTACTAGAGTGCATGTGACTACTAATGTGTTTAACTGCATGTGAAATTCATTCCTCCTGATGCAGTTCTTATGCTCCAAGTTCCCCTGTCTTTAGGGGGTCTTGATTTATTTTAGTTCATATCACCCAGCATATCGTGCACTCTCTCACACTGTCTTTTGTGAGGCACTGGATTATTCTATTTCCTTAGAATGAAATTATTCTGAGTTTTTGTTTGATCCTATCACATCTTTCCCCAAGTCTCCACTATTTGTGCTCATTATGTGCAATGGATAATTGCATTAAATATGTTGGCTAGTGAGCTTGGTATCACAGAGAGAGAGTCGAAGTGTAAGTGGTCTTCTCTCATGATAGCAGATCTCAGTGTCTTGCTTACTGGGTATTGACTATATAAGGTCTTTCCAATGAAGTAGCTTAGCAGCTCATCGGTGGAGAGCGCAGGCTTAGAATTAGACTTTTCTTGGGTTTAGTATTTTCGCATCCTGTCTCTTGTGAGACAAGATTCAGCATAGATACTGGTGAAGCCCATTGATATTTTATAAGCAAAACTACAGAACCTTTTCTTATTTCTGCAGGATTGGGGATAAGCATCAGACATCCACAAAGTAATTCCCTTTTCATCATGACACTGACCTATTGGTCTGTCTTCAACTCAATTTTGTAAAAATGCTAAAATTGGCCTTTTATCTCTACAGTTACCTACTGACTGCATTTCCCTGTTCCCTGTGTCGAACTTTCTCCAGACAAGGATTTCTCTTCTACTTTTCTTCCTTCTAGCAACAGTGACTGCATGCACTTTGATTCCACGATCACTGAATGCAAGCTGGGCCAGCTTTCAAATGCCTGGCAAAGATTTGGTGACCCTAATGTGATCAGTGGAAGTATTTTCTTCTTAAGGCAACCTCTTACCAGATCTGCTTGCTTTGAATGTAAGTAGATTGCTTAAATAGGACTTGCACACCTGGCATCTTCTAGCGTGGAGGCTTAGATGACTTGCTGAGAGTGGAATCGCCCAGTTACTCCTTTCTCCAGGGACATTCTCACCAAGCACAGAATTGCTTCTGCAAGATCTACCTAGACAAGGAGATTAAGTTCTCAGCCTGGTTTTGCAGAAAAATCTCACCATTTATGTGTACTGAAACTGAAATGCAGCAATAAATCTCAACTTAGTCTAAGAACACCCTTAAGGAAACATAAAATGTTATTTCAGTGAGCCATCTGGCAGGAGATCGCCGCCTTGTCTTTTCCCAGTTGTCAAACTGCAAGTTCTTCCTTCTAAATAAAACGTAGTAACCAGTAAGCAGTACTGCTGCTCAGTAGAATCTGAACATATTCTGTGTTCCTGCAGGGACTTGTGTTTGAATGAAGACAATCTGTTTAATGTTCACCTCCCCATGAGTGGCTGTCACATCAGCGAGGTGGATCCAAGCTTTGACTCTGAATTTCTCTCTACTGTCTTTTATCTAGACAAGATTTTCTTGGGAACTCGTTCACAAGGTGGACTAAATAGCTTCTAAGTGTCTTTTTCAAATTTGTTCTTTGGTAGTTGGGACTTTGCTTCAAAATAACAAAATTACTTTGTCCCTTTACCTTATATATGCCTTGTGTAGGTGAAAAGATGGGATCAAGACTTTCATAAAATCTTTGGTGCTTCTCATTGAGAAATCCAAAAGCTTAACTTCAGCAGAGAGATGTTGCAATTTTGTTCTTTTGGTGTTGGAGACCAGTGGAGTGGACTGTCCTGTGTCGATCAGAGCAGGTCTTATTAGTCCTACAAACTCTAGTTTGTATGACTTCGGCAGGTCTGCTGAAGTATTTCATTGTGTCTGATGGCTCTAAAGCAACTGTATAAAAGGACTTTTCCTTTAGACGTTTTTAGTGTGGACGTGGTTAGCTAATGCATTTTTCAGTTTCTGTTCCTAAAGGTAACTTCTGGGCTGTTTTTGAAGCTTCACTCTGTGAAGCACTAAAGAAAAAGAAGGTAGGTAGGTAGAGTAATGCTTTTCAAATTGTTCTGTTTGTTGCCCTTCTTCTTGCCATGTCTTGAAACACTTAGAGGAAATTGAGGTGCCAGAAACTCAATGCTGAGGATTTGAAGGACAGTTTGTGTGGGCAGGAGGGCAGGATTCATATATGCCTGACAGGTATTCAAAAGCTAAAAGTCTGCAGGCAGAGGTACTTGAAATGTACAAGCACTTAGGAATCTATAGCTAGATAGTTCTTCTCAGAGGTCTGTTAGTAATGAGGGCTTTTTTCCCTTGGTTTATACAGGAGTGAATGAAGAACTAGAAGCCTTCTGGGAAGGCCTGTTTCTTAAAAACATTAATTTCTTTGAGGTGTGCATTTTCTTTCACAAAGGAAAGGTAATGTAGCCAGTTTAGTGTCCCATGTAAAACAGCAAGGAAAACAGTTCACAGAAACAGTAGAAATGACTATGAATATGAATTGCTGCGGTTAAATATGGGTAACTTGTTTTGTTCCTACAGGTAGCTCGTCTTTTTATAAATGTTTTTGAGGGAAAAATAATTTCTAGCCCATCATTTAGAAGTATTTTTTAAATACTCAGATGTTTTTGTCCTTTGATTAATAACAATTGAGAAGTATGCAAAAATCTTAGTACTTGGCTAAGCACGTTACTTAAGCGTGAACTCTTGGAACAATGACTTCAGTAGGGCCATTCCAGTGATGATACGTGCTGCAAGTTGAATTCTATATAATTTTGCTATTTTAGCCAAAATTCTCTGAATATGCTAGTCTTCTAGCAGCATATTCTTTTACCATTAATTCAGAATTCTTTTAATGCAGCAACCCCTAAATATTTTAGAAGAGTCCATTTTACTAAATACTTCTGTGGTAGGACAGTTTGTACTAATATATATACACCAATTATTCTGTTTTACCTTAGAACCAAACTAGGAAGTAGCAGCATGTTTAAAACACAGTAGGAAGCATCCTTACTCTCCCAATCCACATCAAAAAGGCAAAAAATTGAATGTATATGCATGACCTCTTAAAAGGAAAGTTATGTGAAGGCAAGGAAAGGTTCTGATCTTCCAGTCTGTAACTGCCTGTTTCGCATAACATCAAGCATGCTTACTGCTATTTAACCAAGACAAGCAATAATGTTTACTATTTTTATTATTCCAGATACTATATATCAAAAGGTGCTATCGTTGATCAGCTTGGAGGAGATTTAAACTCTACCCCACTTCACTGGGCAACAAGGTGGGGAAAAGTCTTCTGGAATTTTCTTTTCCTGTGTTTTTTCTTAACTTGGAATCTGCTACTGATTGATTTATGAAATTGCTGTATTTTTTGCTGGGAGTACTTTGCACAAAACTTAATTCAGTCATTCATAACTAGGCACACTGTGAATGTGGTATGTTTGAGCTACAGGAGCTTTCAGCATATAATTCAGTTTTTGTCATATCTCTTTCTGATGTAGAGGAAGATGATTGCTATGATAGACTCTAATTTTACTTTACTCTTTTTCCTGTAGTCACCTTGGTTTAGTCTTACTTTGGAGATCTTATTTTTGTCAGTCTTCCGAAGTTCAGCAACACTTGTTGGGGAGCAACAGCAGATGGGGTTTGGGCTGAGTTTGTGTGACATTGTCCTTGCAGTGTTCTATTACGTGTGTGGATTTTTTTTTTAGATGCGCTTAAAATCAGATTTATGATGTAGAAGATGGTCCGAGAATGATGAATGGCTGGGAAAATTGAAGACAGCCTTCGAGTAGTAGCTGCTCCTTCAGACAACCGCCTAGAAATAGGCAGGAAAGGAACACTGTCCATATTAATATTTTTAACTGTAGACTGCAAAAGGAGACATACAAAATTAGATTCTAGAACATTTAATGTATCAAAATAATTTGTTTACTAAAGAGGAGGACTTGCTTGCTAGCCTCTGTTAAAAATTTTAGCTTGTATATTTCTCTTTGTTACAGATCACACTCTACGTTCTGTGTTAATAGCACAAAAGTTTGATTAAATTTCCTGGTGTTCATAGCTGTGATCTGTGGCCCTGTGAAGCATTGTCCAAAGCTGCTTCTGACATTAAAAAGGTCTTTTTGCTCATGTCAGAAATTGTGTGCTGACAGTTAGGCACAATATCAACAAGAAGGATATGCCTATGCTCATCATGCCAAAAAGATGCTTAAGCTTTTAATGTAGTGTGGAGGAAGTGTAGGCCTTTGGTTTTCCTTTTTTTTCCTTCCTATTTTTATTTCACTACTGTTTTTAATAGTAGAAAGATAAACCATATGCCCCACAAGAAGTGAGAGTATATAGCCAGTTTGATATCTCTTAAAATAGCAGGTTTCATATGTGGATTGGAAGAAGTCACAGTAGAGTAGATTTCTAAACTAGTAACTTGGGGATTTTTTGTTGACTGGCCTTTTGGTATACAACACACTTAAGCCAATTGCATGTGATGCATGCATTGGCTGCATAGAATTTGCGAATGTGAATGAGTTTGCTTACTCAGTTGCAGAATCAGATCATGACAGTTGTTGTTTTCAAAGTATGAGTCAAAGTGCAGAAGCTCTGGTAGTGTAATTAACTGCTAAACGTATTTCTTGTATTAAAATATTAATAGTTTTTATGTGTATAGTTATTAAGTTGTTTGTTTTCTGTGTTTTGTTACATTTAGACAGGGTCACTTATCCATGGTTGTACAGCTGATGAAATATGGGGCAGATCCGTCGCTAATTGATGGAGAAGGATGTAGCTGTATTCATTTGGCTGCTCAGTTTGGACATACTTCGATTGTTGCTTACCTGATAGCAAAGGGACAGGTAAATTTTAAGTAATATCATATTTAAATAGATTCTACTCAAAATTACAATAGAAAACCAATTGAAACCTATACCTGTCATTCAGGAAATGCAAAATATTTGCCTGACTAAACATAAAAATAATTCAGTGTCTTTTATTGTAGACTACAGTATTGATGTGCCACCTGCTAACTTAATTTCCTCTAACAGTACTCTGAGTACTTTGGCTTTAATTCATACCTGTCTAGTGTAGTATGTGGAAATTCTAACAGTTATTCTTTTACCATTCTTTATTTCTAATGAATTTAATCTTTAAATGTTAACAGTGACAATGATAGCAAATATTTTAGAATTCTTCAAAGAATCATCAGTTTATACACGGGTAAAGTAGTTGTCATAGGTCATCTCTTGTTTTTACACCTCAATCCACAACTTTTATTTATTGCTGTTATTAATTACATGCATGTGTAAATAAAAAAAAACAACCCAACAACCCCCAAAACCTTCTTGCTAGCTTCTTATATTACCGCTAGATCTGTAAAGTGTGTATATAGCATGTGTATTCATTACTGTTCTCACTGTCTCCCATTCTTCATCCTGTATGCTCAAAAACATGTTCACCTTTTTGCTACTCACCCTGCATTATAATTTGTAGATTTACTCACCCACAGATATGTGCCTGAAGCACAAATTTGATTTACTTTGTAAACCATATAGAAAGGTCAAAGCGCTCCTCTCTTTTTACAGTCTTGCTAATGCTGTTCACGCTTGTGCTTATTCTTTCAAATAGCCAGTGAGATACGATCCAATGAGTCAGGTAGAATATGACTATGAAATCAGTGGGTTTGGTCTGTGTAAAACAAATACAAAATTTGCTGCAGAAAATTATTTGTGCCTATACATGTAAAAAAATAAACTATTGCTCCATGCAGTATTCAGTTTGTATCTGAGAACTGTTTGGTAAAACAGTATTTAGTGTATGATAAGAGTAAGCTAGGCACAAGAAGAGGCTGATCATATATAATCGCTATTTTGTAAGAGATAATGATTGGAGAGAAATGCTTTTTCATCAGGAACAAGTTTGTATTTTGTTCACAAATCATGTATAATTGTATGTGGCCTTTATGTTACTAGAAGAATCTTGCAGATGTTATACATGTGTGAACTTGTTTAAAGCATAGCATTAATGAAGTATAAACGGCCTTTAAAGTGTTATACTGTGATTATGAAATCTCCCTGTAAATGCATGTTTGTCCTCATGTTTATATACAGACTTGTCCTATTTATCTGAGCATATAATACTTCAGTCCAAAAGAAGCTCTGTGTGTTTACATGTGTACATACATAAAGGCACAAAACTTGCTTTAAAGTTTAAAACCTATTATCTTGGAAACAGCTCTCCTGATCAATAGTTTTTAAACTATATACCACGTGCAAATTTTTTTTTTTCCTTTTGCCTTTATAGAGACCAGGTTCTCTTCTATCCAAAGAGTAGGCTTGCCCTTGTTCTGAACCAAATTGTAGTACCTGTGTGGTGAATGTCAACTAAATAAATGTCAAAATAAAGGTCAGTGTAGGCTGTTGTGCTTTGTTAGTTCTGATCGTGATGCCTTTGTGGACCTGCATGATCAGAGGAGAGCCAGCTTTCATAACTGTGTAGAGAACTGACAGGTGGATTAAGAAGTTGCTCCTAATTGCTTCTTGTCCGTTTTTGATACAGAGCTGGAAACCAACTTCAGTGTTGCTGCTTCACTCTCTTCCTGGGCTGCAGCAGCCAATGGTAAAATTTTCAATCTGAGGCTCAAGTCCAGTCCTCTAGCTTCTGGAGTGTAGTGTAGGGGAAGAACTCTTGGTCAGATGCCCTCTGGCCTTGGTTGGAAGTGAACCCACTTTCATGCCAGCAAGTACTACTCAGCCAAGAGGCAGCGGTGGCTGATAGCTGGTGCTTTTTTATTTAGTCATGTCTCTTACTGAATTTTGAGACACTAATACCTGGATGTATCATAATTTGCTCATGTTGTTTTTGTCAGTAGGTTTCCTGGGTCAAAATCAAGCCTGGGGCAAGTACAGGATATAAATATAATCAGATAGCAAGTAACAGAATCTGTAGCACAGTTCAGGTTTAGGTAAGATCATTATTTAAAAAAAGGCAAGAAAGAAAAACTGAAAAGAGCTTGAAGGCACTTAAAAATGTTTAAAACTGATGCTTGTACTACTTGACTGCTTGACACTGTGCTTACGCTGCTTAAAATGCCAAAGGCATATCAGGGCCTAGCATATGCAAACATGTCACCCCAGAATAAGTGAAGATATGGATATGGTATGTCGGATGGTTGAATAATGTGTTCTCGTCTTGTGGCATGTGTGAGAACTTTCCTCAGTCACAGATAATGAGTGACTATAAAGTTGCTAGTAGGGTAAAAATCATGTTGTAAGAAATATTCTGGAGCTAAAATTATAGTTTAACTATTTCATATTCATAGTTTAACTATCACTTACTCATCAAGTATGTATGGTTTTTTTTATTCTTAGAGTTGCAATTTTATGTGTTAACTACTGTCAGGAGCTGCATAGGGCCTTCTTCTGAGCTATGGCCTAGGAGTAGTTGGCGTCTAGGTTGGGAGATGCCAGTGTGGTACCAGCAGCCTTGGTTACTTTGGTGCTGCAGTCTGTGGGCAGTGCTCCTAAGCACTGTTACCTCTGTTGGCACTGAGGGTCGCTCTCTCCACTGGGCTCAGGCTAGTGTAAGACACTGAACCAAGTGTTTATTCCCTAGACCCAACCTACAGCACGTTACTTATAGAACTGTAAGTCCAGTCGTGTTTCTTTCTCATGATTGTCAAAACTGACTCTGCATGTGATGGACTAGAGTGTTCAGAACAGATCTTTTGTTCTTTGAAAGAACAAGGTAGGTTCAGTTTTGTGTGTTACCTTGCTTGATGAGCCGCCTGTCCGTCTGTACTCGGGTCATTCCACAAAAATCCTACAAAATCTCTGCTTCTTCTGAATAGCTAGCACATGTCTTTCCTGAATTAGGAAATGTTTTCAGCCTTACATCTCCCTTCCTCATAAATCTTCTTTACTGTATGCTTTTAAATATATCATCTCTTTAGAAGCCTGTTTCCCTTTCCCTGGGCAACAGGCCGTGTGAAAGGGATCTTTTCCTTATGGAGAACAGGATTCTGAACAAGGGCTATGAGGGTCTGTGTTTTGGGAAATAACCAGTAATGGTTCTAAAGAGGATCACACTCCTGGTCCCTTTCTGTGCAATTTAATGCACTTCTAAGTGGAATCTCTTGATGCTTTTTGTGCTTTTGAAAAGGCCATATCGTATCACAGTACTGGTTTGACCATTGCTTGATACATGTCCTGATAAGCCTAAATGCTGCTCTGATCTCTAGCTGCTATTCAGAATCCTACCTTGTCAGCTATATTGCTTTCAGAAAGTAGTGCTAAGCAGCAGAATAGTTGCTACAGCTCCTTTCCGTGCAGGAAGCTCTTTCTCCTCTATATTTTTGCCTCTCCAAAAGCTTTTTGTGGAATCTTGTATTAGTATCCTAGGATTAACTCTGGTTATCTTTGCATATGCACTGTTGTTCTCTTTCAGAACCAGAGTTGTTCTGTTTCAGAAACAAGTGAAAAATTTGTCAGTTGTGGTCCATGGATTTCACGCCTGAAATGCATACAGAGGGCAGCAGTATGTGCGATTTTTGATCGCATTATTGTTGAAATATTCGGTTCTTGCAGTGCTCGTACTGTTGTCCTAACAGCATAGATAATGCTCATGGAGAGGTGTATCAGATTGACCTGTCGCTGAGAGTTAAACAAGAAATTAATGCTAAAATGCCTGTTGGTACACACCAGAACAGAAGAACAGTCTCCTAATACGTACCTGCTGCTGAAGGTTTACATTTTTGCCTCAGCCCTTTAGTAAAAAGCAGCAACAGAGCTTCCTTTCTGAAATGTCCCACTTGTTGTGTGATTGTGGTAATGACCTGGCAAAATAACAAAGAATTTTTGAGAAGTTTGTTAGAGCATGCGTGTGCTATCCACAACTACGTCATCTTTGTTCCATCTTACAACAGTATGCAAGTCAATCTTAGTTGCTTTGCCTCTTGTTAAAGTTCCTTTGAAAAGGGATCTGCCTCAGCCCACGTTGTGGCTTAATATGAGTAATAGCTGCAGCCTGCCTAGGTAATTTATGTGCAGGGAATAGTCTGGAGCTCGTGGCTTCTTTTTTTTTTTCTTTTTCCTTTTAGCTGAGTGTCACCTAGTGTGCAAAGTGTAGTTTCGATTTGTCAGGTGGAATCACTGAAGGAATCGTTTTACTTACATCCAGGCAATCAGGTCCCTTCTATTGGTCACGAAGAATTGCTTTTCTATATGAAATCTATAGATGAAAGAGTGATTGTTCACATTACAGTAATTTGTACAACCTTCAAAATACGTAGTTCACACAGTGTGACCTGTGAATCAATCATGCTTCTCAAGGATGAATGACCTTGAGGTTAGGCTATGGTTCTAATTTCCTTCACGATCTCAACAACAGGAGGTTAAAGGGAGTAGCAACGGTTGCGCGGTCCTAGTAGGCTGAAAAGGATCTAATCTATATAAGCACTGTGGGCAAATAGACTTGGATCCCAGTCTCAGTGCATGTAACTCTTTTCTGAACAAACAGTACAATAAAGTAATGGTTCTCTTTCCTCTCCATCAACTGTTTTTTTAAGTTTCTGAATTTTTTTAATTAAGCAGCAGAGTAAGAACTCAGAAATATGAAGTTATCTGCAGGCTAAGGATGTTTTAAAAGCAATTACTTGGAAGAACTAAATTGAATTTTCTGGAAGACTTCTGCCTGGGTCAGGCTAGCAGCCCCATGAACAGGGATCCCAGGGTGCTGGGCATTTGGCAGACTACTGGAGCAGTGAAGAAGGTTCTGGGGATGATAGAAAGCAACATCATCCACTTTCTGAGTTTCTGTCAGTAGTTTCTGTAGCAAAAGACTTTATTGAAACACTTTCAACCTGATTTTCCTAGTAAGGACTGAGGGGAGTAGCATAGGAAATACTGACATAGCTCTATTGCCTCTAAGGAAAACTGTTCAGGTCTTGCATTAAGTTAGCTTAGAGGAATTTTGTTAGTGGTGGTCTGTGGAACTTGTCCAGATGTGCTTGGGAGTCTAATCTGCCTCAGTGTATTTAGGAATTACCAACTTCCATGTTAGTGAGGCAGGGATCTGTAACAGGAAAAAATGCTGTAGGTAGTAGATCCTTTCTGATGGATCTAAGAGAATTGTCTGGATGGTGCTGTGTAGTCGTTCTGTGGCTATGTTCTGTTAAATGTAATAATGTGGTGTTTCTTTTTTTTATTTTTAGCCATCAGTTTAGTCACCGCTTGGTTATAGATCAGTTTTATTCCTGGGTAGCTTGTTTTTATTAATGGCTTTTGTTTAAACTTAAAAATTTTCTGGCATCCATTAACTTGATCCAGATATGTAAATACCTTTGGAACTGAGTGAACTAAGGAAAATTGCTTTGCAAGTGGAAAAATAGATGCAGCTAGCATTCAGTAGGATGTAGGATTCAGGCCATGGTATTTATGTTAATTTATCAAGTCTTTTATTAAATATTGGTGTACTATTTTAGTTTTCTCCTGCTTTTGAGTGTAATAGTACACCATCTATATATATCTTTTATGTTGAAGATTAATAGTGAGATAGAAATGACTAGTCTTACACAGCATGACTGTTCCTTAGTTTCCAAAATAGATTGGAATGGTTATATTTTTGCAATGGTGGTGTTAATATCTGTTTTCATTTTTTAAATGCTGTTTTATTATGTACTACAAGCTTGCCAGTTTTTCTCCAATTCAGTTGGTTAGTCTTAAAATACTGCTTCTCATTGCAAACCTTGTATCTACTGGATCTTGAGCATGCTTACTTATCTCACCAGCTTTTTTTTTTCTTTTCCTTTTTTTAGGATGTAGATATGATGGATCAAAATGGAATGACACCTTTAATGTGGGCAGCTTACAGAACACATAGGTAATATCTCACGGCAGTTTTGACTTTCTCTTGATGTTAACTAAGTGGCATATAGTAGTGACTGGTTTTGATTTTTTTGGCAAGTTTTTTTTTTAACTAGTCAATGTTCTTTCCACAATTGCCTCTTTTTTGTGAGTTAACCCCAGTAGGCAGCTCAGGCCCATGCAGCCACTTGCTCACTCCCCCCGGTGGGATGGGGAGAGAATCGGAAGGGTGAAAGTGGGAAAACTCATGGGTTGAGATGAAGACAGTTTAATAGTAAAGCAAAAGCAGTGCATGCAAGCAAAGCAAAACAAAGGAATTCATTCACTACTTCCCATGGGCAGGCAGATGTTTAGCCATTTCCAGGAAAGCAGGGCTCCATCACGCCTAACGGTTACTTGGGAAGGCAGACACCATAACTCCAAACGTCCCCCCTTCCTTCTTCTTCCCCCAGCTTTATATGCTGAGCACGACGTTACATGGTATGGAATTTCCTTTTGGTCAGTTGGGGTCAGGTGTCCCAGCTGTGTCTCCTCTCAGCTTCTCATGCACCCCCAGCCTAATCGCTGGCGGGGCAGCATGAGAAACAGAAAAGGCCTTGGTGCTGTGTAAGCACTGCTCAGCAATAGCTAGAACATGGGTGTATTATCAACACTGTTTTGGTCACAAATCCAAAACACCAAGCACCATCGGAGCTACTATGAAGAAGATTAACTTGATCCCAGCCAAAACAAGTACAATGACCTATTCAAGAGAGAGGATATTATGCAGAAGTATTCACTAGTATGAACTTTTAGTTTAAAAAGTAAATCATCCTGTGGAGATGATTGGAAAAAGTTGGTGTAAAATAACACTCCTCCAAAAAGCAAATTTGTCTGAATTAGATTCCTGCTTGGAAGGGCCTGTCTCCATCGATTGTTGAGAGGAACATAGGCTAGCTTTTATGAATACCTACCATTACCAACATTATCATCTTATTTTATTTTCATCTTTTGGAATGTGAAGTGGAAATATAACGTTTTGAACTTCATATACTTGGCAGATAACAACCAATCGTGTGCATGCTTTTACAAATCTGTTAATTTGTAAAATGTGAATTTGGTAAATGTGAAAACGGAATTGTGTAACAAATGTGTTTCATGACATTTGTCATGAATGACAGAACAAGCTGTCTTACTGAGCACCTTTAAAAGTCAACAGAATTTGGTTGCTCTTTGGTGGGAAGGGAATTTGAGCCATTCATAATCATCAGCAAAAAATGTCACTTTGCTATTACATAGTGTACCTGATCAACGTTCTTTATAGAAATTGAACTCATTAACAATAAGTTGGTGTGTATTTGAGTTCATCTTCTGTAGATCTAACAGGAATTTTCTTTTCTAGTGTGGATCCAACCCGGTTACTACTTACATTTAATGTTTCTGTTAATCTTGGAGACAAATATCACAAAAACACAGCATTGCACTGGGCTGTGCTAGCAGGAAATACTACAGTTATTAGTCTCCTGTTAGAAGCTGGAGCTAATGTTGATGCTCAAAATATAAAGGTAAACACTTGGTCTGTTTTTATTGTAAGTGGTTGGAGGCAGAAATAACAGCCTATGATAAATCTCAAGAATAGATTATTATTGCGGGTATGGTGGGATCATGAAGATGGAGCAAAAGCCATGCCACTAATGTTTAATTTGGGAATTAGTTTTTCCTAACAGTGATGCATAACCACTAAATCTGCACCTTCAAAAGTACTCACGTAAATAATTTACCAATGGTTATGTGCAAATATATGGGAGTGGGGTGTGCAATTAGGCTGCATGCGTGAAGACCCATGCATTTGGATGCAAAATTGGAAATATGACTGAATGTCTTCTAGTGAAGTTCTGGGGTGACTGTTTGTTGGAGTGAGATGTGAGACATCTCTGTCCTCTTCCGGAGAGATGATAAATGCACTAGTATATCTCCCCGTGGCAGTAAGGAAGTTGGAGGCCTAAAAATACCAGTAGGAGTAAAATAAGAAAATGGGCTCTTTTTTGCATCAGAACTTTAAGTTGCCGCATTACTCTACCGGAACCTCTTAATGGTGAAGCTAGATTCAGCACTAACAGAGCCCATCCCTAGTGTATGTTAGACCAGCCAAGCAGCTGTTAGAATTTATGCCATAGACTTGGAGTTTATAAGAGCTTCTCCAGCAGTGGAAGGTGCACCTATAGAACATGTTTTTGTCCATTGCCTCCAGACTATTCTGTATATCAAATTAGATGCACTTCACCACCTAAGCTGTTTCTTCTGTGGTGTCAGAGAAGAATTTGCTTTTAGAAAAAGAATTCTCTACTCAATTTCTCTTCAAATATTTGTATTTTCCACTTAATGAGTGTTACAGACAGAGTGGTTATGCTGGAAAATACAGCTGTAAATTTACATTTATAAAATATTAAATACTTAATTAAATTCATTTGACCTTTCACCATTTTCCCTACTGATTAAGATGGCCAGGGCCTATTTTGCTTGGCCACAAGTGATAGAAATATGCTAAAAAAATATGTATACACATCCATTTTCCTGAACAGCATGGAACACACTTTTAAAGGGTACAGTCAAATTTTGCTAGTAGCTTTCTAGGTCTTACATCCACTTTAGAATATCAGAAATACTGATGATCATGAATGAAAACTCATTAGAAAAATGACATGGCTTTTCACGTGTTTAAAACAAATCAGCTAGCCTCTTGCATATACTGCTGTGAACTATAGTAATTATTCCTGGTCTGTAAGGTCAGTTGTGGATGAATTATGCTTCTAGTCTCGCTTCTTGCAAACTGTTGAAAAGCTTTTTTTCTATGCCACTTAATGGTAAAAATTAAGGTATTTTTGTGGAAAAAAAAATCAGTGTGTCATATCTTGCTTCCCTTGGCAGTCTGATTAGTGTGATTAGAGTTTTAAAGTCATCACCTTACCTATGTTTCTGGACGCTTATGAAATCCATAATAAAAATTCATATGTTTTTGGCCAATTGAAAAAGTATCTGCTAGCCTAAACCAGTTCATGGTCTCTCCTACTTTATTGACAGACAGCAGCAGTCAGTAGAGAAATAGGTTTCTGAACCTGCTGGATCATGCTATCTTTCCAGTCATGCCAGAAGATGTGTGCCTGGTTTCATTAACAACTGCCTGCTTTCTGCGGTGGAGTCTAGGTTTCTTGCATGCCTTCCCAGCTTTCTAGGACCTTCAGAGGATCAAAATCATTCTAGCAGTGGCAGTTTTGCCATCCTGCCAGTGGCTTTATAACAGATGCTGATTTGGGTGATATAAAGATATAGGAAACATAAGAATTTGGTTTATTTTTATAGGTGTATAGAAACTCAGTTTTGTGCTTCTCCTTTGACTATTCAGCAAAAATGTTTTCTTTGAGCCAAAAACCAGTTGTTTAGAGTCTGGCTCATGTTTCCCCAGAAATAAAAGGAATCATGAAAAGCTCCTTTCTGATGCAGTCACTTCCAGATTTCTACAGCACTATCTAGTGAAGTCCTTTTCTCAGGTAGCCCATGGAATTGACCAAGAATGGTGGTAAGACAGCTGAGGTTAAAGAAATCCATTGGCTGAAAGCCATTCATCTTTTTCAAATTATGAAGTGGCTGAAATATTAGGTGCGAGCTTTGACCTTTTGTTATCAGCTCTAGGCAGTCTGTGTTAGAAAGGTGCATGCTGCTGGCCACCTAGGTTTGGAACAAATTGGAACCAGTCATCTCAGTAAGGTGCTTTTTTTACTTCGCATGACAGTTTGAGAAGTATATGAACAATAGCACTCTTATTCTAGAATAAAGCTTGATACAAGCAGTGGGTTTGTCCTCTTGTGTTATTTATCCTTTGTATATTATGCTGTACAAGAAACTAATATTTTTCTTTTGGTAGTAAGATACTTTCTTTTTCCTTTCTGAGAACTGGATTACAGTTGGAGTTGGAAGCTGCTTTTCAGTAGTCAAAGTAGAGTGTTTTTTTTGTTTGGTTGATTTCTTGTTAAGGAAATTATCTGCCACACCAGTAGACAGATTGGGCAGATGAGGACAGGATTTCACAGGGAGTCAGCTTGTCACTGGGGGTCAAGGGGAAACCTGTAAATTTTATTTAAATATAAGCAGAAGTTCCTTTTTTACTAGAGAGTGATAGAGAACTAAAAGAGCTTTTATGGTTTAAGGAAGATTCTTTTAATCTGTTAATGAGTCATTGAATGGACTTCAGATGTAGTTTCTTGATTATGCAGTGTATCTGTAGGCTTGTCTGTGGAAGTCTACATGTAAAGTTCCCTATGGTAATGACTCTTCAGATTATTTTTTCTGTCTAAACACTTTAAATATATACTATGGAAGCCTTATTGCTTGCCGGCAAACTATGTGTTACTAGATTAAGCTCCCCGACTTGCAAGTCAGCCATCCACCACCCCTGTGAATACAAGGAAAATATTAAAATGGCCAGATGATGAGAAGCATAGTCAAAAACTTCTTTAAAGCTCCCTCAATCTTTTTATCTAGGCAGTTCCTAGGTGTCTCATGGCCCTCTAGTGGAAGGGATGCTCAGCTGGACCCCAAGACAACTTCAGGATTTACTTGGGAGATCAACTCCCAGAGGGGATTGCTTGTCCACAGGTAATCTTTACAGTCTGGATGTATAAGGTGATATTAAAACAACAGCATCTCTGGAGTTTTCCAGATACTAGCAATTCAAAGTGCTATTAAATTTGTGATGAAGTAGGCACCATAGTTTGATTTCAGGCATTTCTGTTGAGGATGGAGTTAACTTAATCTGTTTCTTCAACATCTGGCTAAATAACTTTGAAGCCAAGTCAAAAGGTTATTCTTTTTTGACTGATTTTGGTAGTTAAACTTCTCGCACAGGAGGAGTGCAAGATCCTGTTAAGTAGCAAAAAGCTTCACCTCATAATCTGTAGCCTGTGATATTTACTCTCCTTTTAGAGATTTGGAGCAAGATTTCAAAGGCAAAAATGACAGTTAAGTACTCAACTCCCATTGTCTTTCTATGGGATATAGGTAGCTAACTGTACTTTTTAATCTTTGAAATCTCTTCTGTCTATAGTAATTATTGCCCTTTCTGGGTAATTTCAGTTTCTGGTACCTGTCTCACTTTTTTTTTAGGAGGGGGACGAGCGATGGAGGATTCAGCCATTTTTCAAGCCTCCATGAATGGTTTGTTTAGGAGGGGAGTTAACTCCAGTAGAAGAGAGGAGGAATCAAATGCAAAACTGAAGCTGGAGGTACCTGCAATTGGTTGTCTCTTGCCTCCTCTATAATTTTAGACCCAGTCAATAACTTTCATTTAGCTCTCTTCCTAAATGTTTAAAAAGCAATAAAATCAAATCAGTTTGGTAGGCACCTTTGGCCCCTGTATCTCTCTCTGTGTCTCTCTTTTGCTTTGTCTGTCAGTCCTCTCTGAAAGTAGGGAAGGAGAAAGTATGGACCATTGCTGGCTTAGCACCCAAAGTACGTGAAGCACAAGCTAAGCATAAAAGCTCAGAGTTTTGGAATAAGTTGGACATGAGCAATCAGTTTATTCTTTCCCGTTTTCTTCCTAGGACTTCAGTAACTGAGATGAATATAAGAACATTAAGCTTGGGGAAAAAATTCCTTATAGAAACATTCCATGATATCGGTAACTTCACTCTGCCAAAAAGGCAGAGAATTAACTGAGAAGTCAGGCTTTAGACTGGGAGAGTTTCCATGATCCAGTGTGTCACGAGTTCTTATTCTTTGCTTGATTTCTGCTGCCTGTCAATAGCTGAGGGGGAAGCACAGTCTTTCATTTACAGACTAGTAGACTGTGTGTAGAACAGTGAAACATAAATGTGTTATGCCAAAGGCAACAATTATTGCTATGTCAGGACATACATATTGTCAGGATCACACATTTAATATTCTACTTTTCCACACATGTATAGTTATGAGAGGGTGAAAAAGACCAAAAGGAATGAATGATGTTTGGTGTCAAGTAAGCTGCAGAGCAAAAAGTATGCCAGAATGTAGCTTAAACTGATTTAAAATGTATTCTCTTTACCTGCCAATCTTCTGTTTCAAAAGTACTCTGAATGCATTTATTTTTAAATTGGATGTTTCCCACTTTCATACTCCTGGCAGGGAGAATCACCACTTGATCTAGCAAAACAGAGGAAAAACGTTTGGATGATCAATCACCTACAGGAAGCAAGACAGGCAAAGGGATATGACAGTCCATCCTTTCTGAGAAAACTAAAAGCTGATAAGGTAAGAAGTAGTATAACACTTACGTAAATCAATATTACTACTGCTGTTGGTTTGGGGGGTGTGTGTTTAAGGTAAGCAGTTCAGTACTGTGGTTTCCCCACATTTCAGTTTTAGGAAAGATCTTTTTGTTATGACAAAAGTAATTGCAAAAGAAAAAAAAAAAGCTTTATTCAGGGCAGGAGGAAAGAAAACCCTAGGCCTCCACCCAGGTACCTTTAGTTTTTTTGTGCTAACTAAATGTTAGGAAAGTACCAAGTGGTCTGGTATTGTTGGCGACAGCCAGGACTTTCACAAAGCTGACTTTCAAGTATCTAAGGAAAGAAGCATTTTAGATATCCTGAACTCTGATTTCCTCTCTAATTATGTAGTGATTTGTGTTGAATGAAAGCAGCAGTCAATCTTGGCAGTATAATGAATCTCTGATGTGGAGGCCTTTTTCTTCTCAGGTTATTATTTAATACTGCAGATAGGAGGAGGCAAGAAATGAGGCTATAAAGGGTAACATACTGCTCTAGCACGAAGAACTGTCTGCCTGCCTATAGTTTGACAACTTATATAGAGTTAATATTTTCTTACCAGGTAGAGTGTTGTGCTGGGTATTAAGTATTGCTATCACTGATTTGTTACAACTTCTTGATTTAAAGATACATTGCATCTTGATGATTGAAGCCCTGGGTACAGCCTGCGCTTTAACCCTGTGGTAATATAATAATGCAGTGATTATTGACTTTGAGTTGTGCATTGCACTGTGTGTACATGTGCATCGTGACTGTGCTTTGAAGATCTGGAAAGAGTTCAGTGCCTTCATCAGGAATTGTACCCACATAGTATAAGACAAAAAAGGTCCTATCTTTCTTCATAGACACTTCAGTATGACTTTTATCTATTACTTACGTAACTGCAGTCTCAAAGTTCTCTGAGATTACCATGTACTGTGTAGTAGTTTATACACTTTGACAGATTCTTAAAAAAGAACTACTATTGCCTTTATTCTGAATTAACAGCAAAGTCTCTAGAAGACAGTTCTTCGAAAATAAACAAAATTACTGATTTGTTACAAAATTTTAGGAAGATTTTTTTTCTTGCACATTCATTGGAGAGATGTAAATATAGGAAATGAGAAAAATTTATGAAGGTTCCTCCCCCTCTGTCAAGCGTCCTGAAAACTAATTTAAGTTTTTGTCACTGTCCTATTTAATATAGAATATTATTATACAATCTGTTCCTGAAAATAGAGTTACTTACTGATATTTGTTTCTATATAGGAATTCCGTCAGAAGGTGATGCTGGGAACTCCTTTCCTAGTTATTTGGCTGGTTGGGTTTATAGCAGACCTAGACATTGATTCTTGGCTCATTAAAGGGCTGATGTATGGTGGCGTTTGGGCTATGGTGCAGTTTCTGTCAAAGTAAGTGTTTTACCAGGACACTGTCTGTTTAGTGTGCACACAAGTGTTTTGCTGGCATCTTTATTGGATAAATAATCTTAAATTTCTATTTTTTGTGTGTTCTTTCAACATGCAACATCAATTTTTTGTTGGAATTTTTTTATTACTATTTCTGGGAAAGATCTTGTGTGACTTCAGTTCTTGTAATGCTCTGTTGTCTTGCAAATAGCCATGGAATTACCTTGGGTGAATACCGCTGAGCTAATAGAAGCTAACAGCAGAACAGAAATTCAGTCATTATCCAGAGGAGGGTGCTGAATGTCTGTCTACAAAGAGTTATCAGCATGAATTTTGCAGAAAGCAGTCAAGGGGAAAGTTATGAGAAAATAATAGAAAAAAGATACGTGCAAGTGTGCTATTAAAACGTATTTTTCCAGAATTTAAATACCCAAAGGTATCTAAAGAGATTTTTAAAGAGAAATGAAGTCAGAGTCAGATTTTATAGCTTCTGTTGTTGTGGAAAGGGGTGACTAAAGAAAAAGGCTGCTTTCTAATTTTGTTTTTAATTTGTTACCTGATCATAAAGAATTTTAGTTGTGTTTGTGATTACTTTAAATATCTGTAAATGCACCTACACGTACACGTGTGCACACCTACACATGCAGGCATGCTCCAACAGATTTTCAAGATCTGTAGGCTACTTCATCTGTCCGTTGCTTTTCGTTGTCATGTGTGGCATGTATAGAAGAACTTACTATATCTTCATACTTACGAGCTTTCTGCTTTTCTGGCACTCTCTGTCATGTTTATTAGAACCACTTGCTTCTCCTTCCTTTCTGTTTAAAGAGGAAAAGAAAATATATCTGTTCCTTAAACCAAGTTCATAGAATTTTAGTGAACTTAGTACACTGGGAGGGAGGTGAGGGGTCATCAAGCTTTTGCCTCTGCAGGATCTTGGAGATGATCTGTTCAGTCTTTTTGTCACCTCTGAGGCTGTGCAATTTGCTGACCTCCTCCCACAAATTATTTGGCAATGCAAATCCTCAACCATGCCTCCTGCAGGAAGCAAGGACAAGATTTCTTCAAGTTTCTCAAGAGCTACATTTTGTCAAGTTTTATATTTTTGACCCACCTAACACATATTCAGGATTAACATTCTTACTTTCTCTTATCCTTTGCTTAATGTTTAGTATAAGTACTTTTAAAAGTGTTTTTCACAAAGCCCAGGTTTGAATGAAACTTTTGCTATTAATTCTAGTAGTATTTCCTTTCACTGTTGAATTTTAGTTAATCTGCTTAGCTGTGTTTTTCCTCCCTACTCCTTTCACACAGAAAAAAAATGCACAGAAATTGCTGAAAGAAAGATTACTGCTGAGTAACTACTGTGTGTCCAAATGTATATTCACTTACTACTCACCATCTTAGCTCATCTTCCTTATAGGATTTTCTCAAAAGACCTAAGAAACTTCCATTTGAGAAGAGGCAGTTACTGAAAGGAAGTAAAGAAGTGAAATGGAAACTACTCGGTGCACACATTTGTCTGTGGCAGCCCTGAGGGCACCACCAGGACAAAAAGTAAAATGCGTCAATGTAAGGATGTTTAGGCAGATGATGGAAGAAGTTTTATTTCAAGGAGGTTAGTAGTTTAGAGTGAGACTTTTGATATGTTTAGCAATTTTTTCTTGAATATGGAGTAACCTAGTCACTCACCTAGTTTGTCTCAACTATATTCAACTTTATTCAGAATAGTCTTTAAAATGCAAGAGTATAAGAAGGTGAAAATAGTTCTGATGGCTTAATTTTTCTTTTTTTAATTAAAGTAGCAGCATTCTATCTTAGAACTTGGCAAATCTAGTGATATGGGACATGAATTAATCTGGGGTTTTTTTGGACTTTCTTTTGGCAACTGTAACAGAAGCAAAAGATTCAAGAATCTGAAATATTTCAAGTATGTAGGCTGATAACACCAAGGTCTCTTAAACTTTTTTTTTACTGAAGTAATTTTAACATGTAATTTTCACTGTATGGATTTCCAATATAACTTTAGCACTGAAATCTCACAAGTAAATGTAGTTTGCAACCACTATCCGCGTAGGCTAGGAATCTCACAGGTTTCTAACTGCTTTCACAGTATAGTTTTAGCATGAGTATTTACTCATTCTACCTTTCTTGTCCAGTTCTTGACATTCACTTCGAAAGTAAACATATAGATTTTAATTAACTAACTTTCAGTTATGACCCTTCATCTGGACAGGTTGAAAATGGGAATTTCTCATGAACTTTGAAGGTAAAAGTGAAGAAAATGTTTTTATGGCGTGTTTTGCAATATCCCATATAGTACATATTTTAACGGGAAGTGTTTTTCAGAAGCAGTAGTTTAGGATTTACATTTTATATGTCGAAACTTATCATGTGACATTGCTACTACTTTACAGGTCATTCTTTGATCACTCCATGCACAGTGCACTGCCTCTTGGAATATACTTGGCAACGAAATTCTGGATGTACATAACGTGGTTCTTCTGGTTTTGGAATGATATCCTTTTTTTGTGTACACTAATAAGTAATATTTTTTCATGTTAGTAGTATGAGGTAATACCTAGATATATCCTACATATAAGAGTAAGTAAACTAGTTAAAACTTTAAAATAGCTATCTCCATTAAACATTGCTTTCTATATTGATGGTAATTATTTTATCGCTTTAAAAATGTGCACGCTATTGCTTTGCTTCAGTAAGTGAAAGATTTTCTGCAAAATTAGCTTACAGTAGTCTGCAAAATTTACTGTGCTTTACCAGTTTCCTAAGAGGGGGAAATGTAAGCAACTCTAAAAAATAGGCTCTGACTGTGAGGTAACAAGGTGTAAGTGACTGCATTTTTAGACACTGCTTTTCTGAAAAAACAGTAGGTAATTTCATGGTATATATCAATTCCAGTGGAATTAGCTTTATAGTTAGTTCTTCCTAAAGATTTTGCAAATTCCGTTTCATACAAACTTTAGATACATTTGTTAACTGTGTTTTCAGTCTCTGAAGTTGTAGATTATACAACACTAGATTATAGAGATTCAGCATATGCCCATCTTCTTATGTTTTTGACTGTCTGCCTAGATATGAATTTTTCATACTCACAGGGGTAGAAATTGATTCAGAGTTCACTGAAGAATGTCAGTTACCGTAAGAAAATAGATTCAAATTTTTAAACAACTTTCTTGGGTATTGTAATTACAATAACCAAGAAAACAAAATAGAGATTTAATGTTTTATTAAATGTTTAATACAGTTCTTATAGTTGAAGTGAACTTAATATTTATGATGGATGTTGGCTTGACTTTTCTAGAAACTGGTTTTCTTTTCATCCTCAAAGGAATTACCATGAAATAGGATAGTAGCAGTACAACCTTTTTATCATCTTGTTAATACATTCTCCAACCTTAGCTAAATGAGCCTCACATTTTTGGGTTGAGAACAGAGAGGAGACCCTGCTTCTATGCTGCCTTTGGCTTCCATGCTGACAGCGTTTGCAGAGGTGCTGCTATGAATAATAGCAGTCCCATGTGACTGGAGATGACTGCTATTTCACGTTTAAAAAACCTAAAAATGAAAATCTAGTAGCTGTTAAGAAAAAAAAAAATTCCATTAATATTGGCACAAGTATCTCCTGAAATAGTTATTTAGAAATGCTGGTCCTACTACCAGTCTCTGTCTGGCCTGATTTTCTATGTTTTTACTCAAACTTACTAGTAACTGCAGAATGACGAAAGTGAGTACAAAATGAATATGAAAAACATGTTAAAAAGCAGTAGTTAAAAATAGAGGTATACTTTTCCAGTTTTTATGGAATAGAGTAGAACTGTCTAAATATGTCATGCCTCTAGACTGAAGTTGCTTTTCTGTTCTTTTTGTTAAGAAAAACCTGACTTTTGGCAAACAGTAAAATACACGTTTCTGAGGCAGTTACAATAACTACACCCTCTCACTTCTGAATCTCAGCTCTCCATACCTTGTAGGTTTTCTTCAGAAAATCATGTTTGCTAATGCTTCTACATGTTTTGGGCTGCAAACATTGAACTACTGTGAAATGCTTTCTTGTGCTAACTTAGCATCGGCTCAAACCAAATCTAAGAATGTGTGCAACTTTGATTTAAAGTTCTTGACCATATTAAAATGGCTGCACAGCCAACACAACTTGATGATGGCCTCTATCTTGATGTAGAAAGCTGTTTCTTAAGGCTGGCAAATTGTGAGATTTTTATCCTGAAACTCGTATTTTCTTCATATTTGTATGAATTTTGCTTAGATTTTTATTTCTGTTGGCCATTCTGATTAATGGAACTTGAAGTTTGGGTGTTTTTTTGTCACAGAATAATGTTCATTGTCCATTAGAAGTAGTAACCATAGACAATTAATTACCCTAATAATGTCTGACTTCAGAATGTCAATAAAATACTGTACTGCTTCTGTAATTTAAGGTAGGTGCCTCAAAAACTTTGCAACAGTCTTTTTGTACACAGTAGTAGTAGTCTAAAAACTTCACTTACTAATTGCTTTCATTAGAGCTCACACAGTTCTCTGACGAGCAGTTTTAGAGACTTAGTGCTTGAGGCCATCTTCCTTTAATTGGTGATTTTTAATTGGAAGTCTTTGTAATAAGATTCCAAATTCATTATTCTTCTTCTGGAAAATTGCCCTGTAGCTTTATTGGAAAAAAGAAATTGTATGCCTGCTCTATTTTTATAGCATGAGGCACAGCGTTGTGGTTGGAGAAAGGATTCTTTTATTTTTACAGCTTTATATGATTACTTACAGCAGACCAGAGTACTACTTTGTAATGTTCAAGTGATAAAACCTGTCCTGGTAGTTTTCATGAATTCTGACCATCTTTTGCTCAGGAAAGAAGTTTCTAACCTTAAACAACGATCATGAATTGCCTTACTGAAACTTTATATTGTAAATAATATGAAGGTCTTAATTGCTGCAAGTGTTACTTTAATATCCAGGTGTTTGGTAAGAATTTTCTTTTCTTGCAGATATGTTGAAGGTGTCTGGAAGATCATCTGGTCTTCTGGGTTTAATCCTAATGAGACAGAAAAGGGCAGTCGAAACAATGTATCATAAAGAATAAACAAAACCAAAGATTAGCAGTGTGTTTTCTTGAATTTCAGGGTGGTCACATGAAAAATAAGTATAAATTCTAATTCATGTGTCTTCTAAAAGACCAGTCTTGAAAATAAATTCAAACAGTTTAGATGAATCTAGTGTACTGAATTTTTGTAAATGTTTCCATTCTATTGGATTTTTCTCAGCAGCTTCTGAGTCTGGTATATTTGTTAAAATAGAAATCCTATTCTTGCTGGGAATGAGGAAGTTATGATCTGTGTATTTATGGATATATGAGTCTATGGTCCTATGCTTCCCTGCCACTGTTTTGCTGCTCTTTTGTTGCTTCCCTTTAACTGTGTTTTGCCCATAACAAAGGATAGTTATGTCTTGCTCTGTTAGTGTAGTCTAATCTTCTACTGTTTGCAGAGTAGGGGGGGGAAGACCCTCAAAGATCCTACACACTAAATCACTATATTTTAATTTAGTTTTATTTTTAAAGGGGAAAAAAAAAGGATTTAAAAGTACATTTTTAATAATGTGAGACTAGAATTTCGCATTTCATTCTTTTTCATTAGCATTTATAGGTAGAACGTCCTCTTGTGTCCTGTAAATTTCAGGACGCATGTACCAAGTTCATATCTCAGTTGTTCACCCAGTCTTTTCAGTTCCAGCTGAACAAATAGTGCCTGTCATGTCAGAAGGTTCTTATACTGCTCTGTTTTTCTAAGATGTTAGGGTTTGCTGTAACTGAAAGTATTGACTTTTTTTTGTTGTTGTTGTTCTACCACTTCCATTCGGCGCAAATGGGAGCGCACAGTTTTCATTACTTAAGCTTTTTTGGTATAGCATACTGCTTGCAATGCTGAGATAATGAGAATTTATAATTTTTTAAATAATTTATTGTTGACTAATACTGTATGGAGTATCTTATTTCAAATATACTTCATGTATTGATGGGCTTTTAGGTGAAAGGAAACAAACACTGCACACTTTTTCAATTAGGGATCATTTTAAGAACTGGGTGTAAGAGAATTCATGATGACTCTCATGCTTTCATAAAGCTGTTACAATAGCATAGTGTTTTAAAAACTGTAACAAGCCAATTGGTAACAGTCAAGCATTTAAAACAAAAAAACCCATTCATATTACCAAAATTAGCTTCAGGAAAACAGCAAAAAGCCTTGTATGCATAAAGAAAGAAGGCAGCAGCCATGTTTCTAGAGGAACCAAAGACCCAAAAAAACCAAACCCCAGGCCCAGCTATCCAGAACTTCTGTTCCTGTGTCTAAATACTTTTCCTAAATATTTTAAAAAAAATATATAAAAAATTCTGGGGTGGGGGAGATGGCAGTGAGTTAATTGTTTTTGCAAGCTAAAGGATTTTTTTTATGTTAGATAGCAGACGGAGGTAGAGAGCTTTTGCAGAGCTTCAGTTGATTAAAAATGGATTTTGTCTAATAAATGCCTAGTCAAATGAGGCTTCTTGTGTAGCTATCTGCTGTTATCTACCTGGACTCTTGGATCCAGATGTACAGCTGTTATGAATTGGCAGGTTCATTAGCACGTATTGATCACTGACAGCTTACACTGGCTGCAGATTTTTCTCTTTAGGAGAAAAGGACTTTATTACTGGATTTGTAGTCAGTGGAAGGGAGCATCTTGGTATATAATGGGCATTTTGGCTTGGTTTCAGACTCTTGTATGACATGTAGCTGTGATAGCAGGAAGCTGCATGTGTTTGGGCCCCTTTAAATAGGCTGCAGTTCAGGATGAAAAATTAGCTCATCTCACGTTTACCTCACTCACGAGTTGTGGGGTGGTTGTTGGGTTTTAATTTTCTTTTTATTGAGATGGTCTTTTTGATTCCAGGTGGTTTCCTGGAATAATTTTCAGCCTGTTGTACCTGTTCTAATAATTAAAGGATATTGATTAGGACTAGAAATGGGAAGTGTTTCACGGGTGTTTCTGCTTGGTCTCTCACAGTGAAAACTGGGGAAACCTCATAAAAGACAGCAAATTGGTGACAGGGCAGAAGGTGAATGCCTGCTATATCATGCATTTTGCAGCCCTTAATAATATGGTAATGTATTTTTCCTTGCATAGTTGTAAATGAGGATGTTAGGACAAAATGAGGTGCTCTCTCTGGAGAACTGATTCCCTACTCTGTAGCTAATGCAAACCTACAATGCATATGGAGAGTTTTGAGAGATGTCTGTGATACAAGTTGCTAAGATCTCTTTGGAAGTAAACTTCAGAGGGGAGTTCACCATAATTTTAGATAACCCTAGTGTGGACATCCATATCTAAGTTAGTTGTTTAAGCTCTCTTCATAGCCATTGGAGAAAAATAGCCACTTGTAGGGCACTGCTTCTCTGACTTAAATATGTTGATACTGAACATAGATTGGACGTGGCTTTTTCTTTTCTGTTGTGTATGAAGGCATACTGAGTCATTTAAGGTAGGTGAGTTGTTGCCAGATGCCAGAAATATCCTGGAGAAGATAATTGTAATTTTCCTTTCTCCTTTAAAGTCTGGTTGTTTTTCATCCCTTCTCCCCAGTTTTGCTTAAAACTTAGGAGAAGTGGGGTTTTGAACAGACAGTAATGAAAAATACTGCTGACTCTCTCTTTCTCCATTTATAGCTGAATATAGCTCATCTATACTTTCTTATGTAGTCTCTTGACATCTTCCATCCTCAGCACAGAAGTACCTTATCTGCCACCATTTACACTGTCAGTGTTGCACTCATCTGACACCACGTGATAAAAGGAAAGGCAAAACTTAGACTCTGTGGGGAGTCTTTTATGCTCTCCCTGTATTTTATGGAGTAAAATGGGGGAAGACAAAGTTCAGCAAAATTCTGCATACTGAATTCCTACTCATGTGGCTTGGATCCATGGACAGCTTCTTTATCACACAGGTTGTCCAAATTTTAGTCAGTAAAAAAAAAATTCCAAAACTTTAAGGTTATAAAAACCCTTTTCATGGATAAAAAATAAATTGTCTTTCCCCCTATCTTCTTTACTAGTCTAGACATGACGTATAGTAATTAGGAATGGGTCATATAATTTTTTTCAATTGTACATTTATTGTTTGTAACAGACCTCTGATTAAGGTATTTTTAATTAAAAAAAAATTCACTGTTGTGGCAAAATCCCCATGATACTTTTAGTATTCTAAGGAAAATGTAATTTTCTCTAGCTATACAAATAAGTTGAACCAGCTTATTTGTGGCAGCAGGTAATTTTAGAAGAAATAGCTTGTTAGAGGAAAGATTAATTAGCCTTTAGTGAGTTAATACTAACATTCTACTATATAAGGTACATGATTAAAATTTTAACCTAACTTGCCAATATTTTTTAATTAGAAATTCACAGCCAATTCCTCCCTCCAACAGAAGGAAAACAAAAGTTATTCGGGATACGTGTCACATGTTTGTTAGCATTTCAGAAGTCAAAAAGAGGCCTTACTTGTATTTATTCTTATTTCAGGGTTCTTTCACATCAAAAGAGTGGTGTAGAAGGATTTGAGATACTGGTATTCTCTAGAAATTCTGTTTTCTTTTCATTTAATATTTGCTTGTATGTGTACCATGTAGATTTGCTTATCAATGGTTTATGTAATTTTTTTCTTAATACTGCTTAATGCCCTCAATAAACATTTTTTCCAAGAATAGAGTCAAACAGAATAGAATATACTTGTAGATATATAGTAGAATATATTAGAGCATCTATTCTAACTTGAAAATCCAGTTTTTTCAAAGCATGCAAAACATGTTTTAGAATTTCTACTGTCTTTAAAGTATTGCCTACCAATTCAGTACAGATTGCCACGTAATGCCTGTTTTTAAGTCTTATATGCAGGGTTTTGTAATGCAAACACACAATATATTAAACTTTAATTACAGTAGAAATTCTAATGACTACCGAAGTAGAGAGAAATATTCATCTAAGTTACTCAGAATATAGTGTAACTTGGGTGTGTAGTGATTTGTGACTGAGCAATATGTGTCCTTTTTGCCTGGATAATACTGTAGAGGCTTCTGCCACCACAGCTTTGTCAAATATGGCATCTCCTTGCAGTTATGACTGACAGCTGACAGGTATCTTTAGTCGGGTTGGTCAAGTCTTTTGTTGGTTTATTGGAGTAAATAATTTTCCACCTTTTGTGGAAGAGGCACGTCTGAAGTAGTTTGTTTTTTAACGTCGTTGCTAAGAAATATTTTAATTCTGTGAAGAAATGTTAAGTGTTGTAAGACTAGGCATGTTATATGGCAAGTCATTCATCACAGGAAATATATTTTAAAACTAACGGTTATTTTCTGTCTTTATATGGTAATTGATTTTATAAACACTTCCAGAGAATACTAAATCCTGTGGTTTTGTAAGTATTAGATGTATTAGTGTGTTAAAAATAACTTTCATTGATGTAAAATATGGGTATCGCCTTATAATAGGACCAGGTTTCAGACAGTACCATTCTTGGAGATAAGTGGTGTTGAGACGTGACTGCCACGCAGCAGTGGTCGTTGCAGCACAATTCCTTCTATGGCTAGAAACAGTCCTTTGTATGATCTAACGGGAATGTCCAGCCACTGAAGACATAGGCAATCAAATGACTGTCTTATAAATAGAACTTTGAAATGTTTATTGTGAAAACAGGAAATACTTTTAAGAAGATAAATTTAATGGAATTTAATTTATTTAAAAGGGAAAATAATTACAAAAACTGAAGTATCGTTATTCATTCTTTAGAAGGGTAAGTGCTTTAGAAATGCCTCATGGAGAACAGCATTTTAAAAAGTAAGTTTTCAAGTTTTTGAGCAACAGGAAATACTGAGTACTAAGCTAGTTCTTACAGCAATGCTGAATTTTGTTAATTCAGAAGACGGTGACTCAAGGGTATTTGTAAAAACTAGATTTATTTAAATTTTATTTCAGAATTATCAGTGGGTATTTTCAAGGGGAAATTTGATTTTAAACTTTAGATTCCTTGACTTCAAACACATCTCAGTTTTTTCTTTATACATCTTCCGTTCCTCGCTAATAGCGTTGCACTTTTCTACAATTTTGGAAAATCCTGGAAATCTGATCCAGGAATCATCAAAGCCACGGAAGAACAAAAGAAAAAGGTATGGGATATGTGAAACTTGATCTTCAGCAGCCTGCCACCAGTTGGTCAGAGTAGTTTGCTGTTCAGTACGTGAAATCTCAATGAATTGTTGTATAATGAAGTCTAAAATTTTGAAAAGTTTCCCCTTCACTTGTCATCCAGGTTTCTTTTTTTTACATTTGGAATATATGTTCAAGTGCTTACTGGTCCACAGTTACGTTTAGGTCATTTTGAGTAACAAAATTGCAACTTAGATTTTCAAGACAAAAAAGTTTAAAAAGCAGTTGGGTGAAAATGCAAATGTGAAATTTCAGAATTTTGCTGTACTGAAACAAATGACCCATTGTGGGGTAAGCATTAGTTAATTTGATTCTAAAAAAAATTCCAGACTTTAAAGCACCTCTAGTTTTCCTTAACTTTGTGGCTAAAAGTATTAGACTGACTGAGGATAAAAATTACCAAACCCCAGGCAGTATGGGATGGATATTTTTTTTTTCTTTTGGTGATGATCTAATGATATCTTTCTAAGACTTTACAACACTATTGTTAGCATTTCTAATTTTTTTGTTGTTGTTGAAGTACATTGTCCTCAGCAGCCAAACTCAGCATTGAATATTGCAAAATCATACAAGCAGCAGAAACATTTTGTTTGTTTCGTTTTGGGCAAGTTTCCTAGAAGCTCACATCCCACCAAAAGTGAGTTTTGTGCTTCTACTTCACGCTCATTTGTGAAAACACCTATGTGGATTGAAGTCTGACGCTTGGAATTATGGCCTTATGTAGTGATAAACACACTGTAGCCTTTAAAAGATGGTTGTGATAGCCTAAGTGATTTTTATTTTTTCCAGTAGATTATTACTGAGTTGATAGTCAATGTGCAGATCTACTTTTGCAAATTCCCTGTTATTGCAAATTTGCCAAAGTAAGTTCCAGACTAAATTCTCTTTCTTCAACTGGACTAAATAGAAGAGTCGGCAAGTGTACTTTGGTTTGGTTTGGATTCAGCAAATTGCATAAATATGCAATTCATTTGATGTGTTTGCTTAAGTAGTTAAGTGTGATTACAAAAGCCTTGCTGAACTCGATAGGAATTGTAAAATGCAACTTCTTCAGTCAGATGCATATGGCTATGAATGTTTTGGATGTCTTACATTGCAGCTAACCAAATTGTGAAATGATCTATTATCAGGGGCATAAACCACTGTAGGGTGCGTGTCCTACCTTTGTGCAGTGTACTGCTTTCGCATGTTTTTGTAACTTGTCTCCAAATGTTTTATGTTGAGTTAGCCTTTAGCTTTGGAATAAGCAACCAAAAAAGTTCTTGTAGTTGCAGATGACCAAGTTAAGTATGTTTGGAAGTATGTAGTAACCAACAATTTCAGATGTTTATTCTTCCGATATGTCATGCCCTTTCTTCTGTGTTACAAAATAACCCGAGTCACTCTTAACAGAAATAAATAAATAATAAATAAACAATTCAAAAATTCAAAATCAAATATTAATAGTTCAGAAGCACAGAAAATAGACCCAATGTTTGTAAACCACAAAAATGTGGCTCTAACTTGAGTACTCCTGGGTGTCTATGCTATAATCTCTAAGGAGACTTATATTTAAGTGGTTTATCAGCTCTTGTTCAGTTCTGTTCTCCTGAGCTTTGGGGTCTTGCTTGTGGACAGTACTGAACTCCAGTGCTGAGCATCACAGCATGTACATTTCCTTTGTTCATCCTTTCATTAGTCTGTAGTGTAGTGTATACTCCCACGGAAATTGTCCAAAATATATTAAGGTATCAAAAACTACATCAAAAGCATTGAAATCATGGTAGATATGTCTTGTTGTTTTTTTTCTTTCTGTTCATCTGGTTTATTTAAAAAAGTTACTCTTGTGAGGGAGGCTCCTTAATTTCAAGTCCTGTAGTGGGAAATGCTGTTGGAGCAGTGAGGGATGGCGGAGGGGGATGAGAAAGGGATGTAGAGTACTGAAGTTGGCAAGATGCAAGAGGGACATGGAAGGGCTTGTTGAATGGCAGTGGCAGGCTGGAGAAGGGATCTCAAGGGTTGCAGTGGTGGAGGCAAGAATACTGGGCCAATAGCAAATGGAAATACAACAAGCGAGGAGCAAAAATAGTCCAACTTTCAGAGCTTAGAAGTGTTAGAAAACTGTAAAGATTGTTCCTCATTTACCTGAGGTCAGCAGGGAAAGCATTAAGACACTGATTTACGCCTGGACTGTTGACTGTAGCTTTTACTGGTTACTTTGAGGAAAAGTTTCCATAAATTTTTCCTAACCAGTTATTAAGAGTAGTATTTTGGAGGAAAACTTCTGCGGCTTCAGTCAAGATACCCACCTTAGTGGTCATCATCTAATTAAGGAAGTTATGTTTATATTACTATGGTGAGAAAATAGTTGTAAGGACTATTTTACTGCTTCTGCAGTTAGAAACCACCTTGATGCATAAGATATACACGGTTTGAAAGGGACCAGTAGATTAATCTATTTGCCATTAGGCTATTTATGCTGAGGTAATTCCTTGTGGTTCAAGGAAGGCTATTCTGGCAAAAGATGTTTTCAGGATGTTTTCCATACGTTGCAAATGTCACTTAAGTCTCATGCAGCACACATTTCAGCTGCTGAATTTTAAAACTTGTTGGAAACCATTTGATGGAATACTAGGTTCTGACAGTGAAGTGGGTACTGAAGGAGTGTACAAAATAAAAAGAGCTGTCATTTAGTGTGAAGGTATAGGCATGCTTTAACTGATACCTACTTCTGTGTATCACTTGACCCATAAGTATAGCATTATATGTAAGAGGAGATTTGGTTTGCATTATTTATTTTCTTTCTTGAAGCTTCGACGTCTGAGGAAAGAGGTGAATATAGATTTGAAGGTATTGATGGGATACCTCTGGAAGGAAAGTTCGTTTTTTAAACTGGCTGATCCTGCTACCTAGTTTTATTTGTGTTCTTGTTTAGAAATTCAGCTGCATTAATTTTAACAACGGGTTAGTCAAACTGGTGCAAACTGGTGGATGTATCAAAATTAAGATAAGCTTGCTTTTTCTCTAATTAAACCTAGATAGAGTAGGGATAAGTATAAGCTAGAATTAATTTAGAAGCAACTGTGCATATTGGTTTAACAAAGTAGGTTTAAAATCAGTTTCAGCTGAATTTAAGTTGTTCCTGTGTGTAGAAAGTACCTGAAATGAATAGAGTTCATAACCCTGGGTTGAGAAGCAGCTATTACAATGGTTGTCAGCATTTGTTTATATGCTAAATTCTAATTTTTTTTTCTCTTTTTTCTTCAGACAATAGTAGAACTTGCAGAGACAGGAAGTCTGGACCTCAGTATATTCTGCAGTACCTGCTTGGTAGTATATTTTTTAATCAATTGCAGCACCGATTTGTTTTTTGGTTTTTTTGGGTTTTTTTAATGCTAGGCCAAAATTAGATTTTCCTATACTGAACACATTTTTGGCCTTAATAATGCAATTTCAAGGGCAGGATTTATTTGTAATCTTTAATTTAAATAGTGTTTTCAATAAATAATATATCCGTACACAAAAAAACCCTGCAACAATAAGAGAAAAAAAGATGATCATTGTGGAAATAACTTGCCAGTGTCAAAATCCAAGTATCCAATATTTCCACCAAGATGGTTGGTTATACACCTAACAAGTTATGAAAATCACAGGTGACATTCCACCACCTCTGTAACTCACAGTAAAATTATGTGGTGCTTCTAGTAAAATATTGTGTATTTCTCAATTTGGCAGTAATTGGCGGGGGAGGGGGGGGAAATCTTAATTTTTGTAAAGTTTGTCAAATTGCAAGCAAATACTTTTCTTGGACTAGTTAATACTTAGTTTCACCACAGAAAATTTAGAAGGAAATAACTGCTTAAGGAAAAGAAAAAGTAACTATAGTAAATGTAATATGTTTCTTTTTTAGAAAGTTAACTAGTAAATATAAAATTATCAGGGTTATCAGTGTTACACTATAATGCTCTGACCTATGTAGAACATGAATGATGTTAATATTCCCAAAATTGAATCTGGAAAATTACGTATAGATGTGGCACCTTAAAAATTACGTGTGTGTGTATATACATACATATCTCAGAACTCTTAATATCAGGTTTTTTTAATTGCCATTTTATTTTTCTTTCAAAACAGCACCTTTTAAAAGAAATTGTTGGGAGTAATTTAGCATTTTAAGTTCCACCAAGTTCCACTTGTTGAGTCATATTCCTGTCTTTAGAAAATAAGCTGGAAGAGTTTACGTTAGAGCTCAGTTATGAATGATACTGACAGAATCGTGGAACACAAACGCATTCTGTGTTTTCATTGTTAAAAAGCTGAAATGAAACTGGTTGCTATACAAAGCTCAATAGCTGGAGGGGATAGGAGAAATTTGTATGGGGAAAAAAATTTTAACAAAACGATAACAAAAATAGTATGAAAATAATTTCAGTGAGGTGGTATAGATGTTTGTGTTAAATAGTGTATAGATTAAGCTTAATAGCTAAGATTGCTTTAAAAATTAGCATCGTTTGAAGTTTTCTAAGGGGTTAACAATAGAAAAAAATCAATTTACATTTAAATTGAGGGGTTTAAAAAAAATATATATATAAAATGTCAGGGTTTTTTGCTGTTCTAAATAAATGTTAATAACCATTACAGATACGGAAGCCAGTGAGGTCCAAACACTGTGGTGTATGCAATCGATGTATAGCGAAGTTTGATCACCACTGCCCGTGGGTGGGTAACTGTGTAGGTGAGTAATTTGCTAAAATACAAGGTTGTCTTAAATCGACCCTGGGTGTTGTACAGGGTTTTGTCCTCATTTCATGGTGAAAGTGACTTGGCTGCTGCCAAAGTCTGAGGAAAAACTGGTTTTGGTTTTTGGTAGAAGGAAAAACCTCTTCAATATTGAGCTTTTTTTTTTTTTCCTACATGCAATTCTCTGCATTATTCTCATTTGTGTTGTCTATTATATACTCTTCCTCAAAATTGTTCTGTGTCTAATTCAGTTTCCTATCTATACATTTTTATTAACAAAAACCCTAGTAATTAAAAGATGCAAAGTTTAACTGCTTTTTAATGTTTGCAGAAAAGGCACGTACCGATTTCACAACTGACTATTATTCATTACATAAGATAAAAATTTTCATCTTTACCAATAATTTTTAGTAATTTAATGGGAAAGTATACGTACTCAAAAATGTCATGATTTATAGCAGTTAGATACAGAATGACTTCCTGTTGAGGTATTCTTTTTTTGATCCCCCAGGTAGTCATTTATTCTCCCCAGTGATGATGAAAGGAGCGGATATAGAACAGGAATAAAGTCTCTAAATACTATGTATTCCCTGTCATACTTCTTGAAAGCCATTATTATGCAGGGAGTACTGAAGACTTCACAGCTAGGAAATGAGTGCAGCTTGCTTCACTGGTTTACTTTTTTAGGACACAAGCAGGGGTAACTTTAATCTTAGGGAGGAATTAAGACCTGGATTCGTTGACAGCTGACTGCCAATAAATGATTCATTGTAGTCCTTCCAAATATATATAATAATGGATAGTCACAGTAGTTTGGTCTTATGATCAAGAGTAAAATAGTCAATGCTGGCATTTGAATTGTAACAGAACATCACTGAAGTCTCACTGAGATGGACTTATATCACTCCCTTCTACTTTATATTTCCTACTGGTGTTACTACCTAAGCTACTTTTGATTTATATTTTAGATGTTTTACAGTGAAGGACTAAGAAACTTTTAATTAAAACAGGCAGGGAGGCATGGGCTCAGGTTTTGGAGAGTGTTTAGTGACGGTTTGTTTTGCAAGAGTGTTGAGGAATACTTGTCAATGGGACAGAAAGATCCGGTATTTTAATCAGTAACTGGAAAAGTATAAAAAATAGATGGGGGAGGAAAGACCTTAGTTTGTGCGTAATAAGAGAGTATGTGAGTAATGGGATTAAGTTAGGTGGAGGAAATGGTCTTTGAAAAACAATGGTGATGGAAAAGCAGAATCCTCTTTACTCGTGGTCTTGTACAGATTGGGATAACTGGAGGTAAAAGTAAACATTAGGACGCTTGAAAGTAGGCTGGGAAAAAAGCATTAGAAATCACGCTATGGGAACAGCCCTGACCTGGAGGGAGTGGTGGTCTAAATGACCTTATATGGCTTTTCTGTCTCTCAGATTGGTACATGGTGACTCTGAGCATAGGATTACAAACCAGAATCCATTCTTAAAACAGCATTCATGGTATGTTTGCCAAAAAGGGAAGCATGACTCGCGCCTTTCTGGAAAGGTGGAATTTGGAGATGTTTTATGTAGTGTTCCTTTGAATGTGTTAGAAGGGTAAGAATTTTACTAAAGATAGGACTGAGAAATATTGTATGAGTGTGTACAGACACTCTAACATAAATCCTTTGGGGATAAAACTTGCCACATAAAGAGATTGAGAGAGAATATTTTTACCACTCTGAAGAGGTTGACAAAAAGTGCACAGTATTTGAAAAATAAATAAATTGGCACTTGGGGCAAATTATTTTCCTCATAGCTGCAAAATTTTAGTTACAGTTACAGTGAGCGAGCCTCTAAAGGTGATTATACCTGTCTTTTTAATGGAGTATCAAAATGGCATTATGTCTTTTACAGTGGGTTGTTTGAAGATGAAAAATAAGAGATCTTATTAAACTGGTATTTACATTTCAACTGCAAACTGCAGACTTGCAGCAGAAAATCAGTTTTCAAGTAATAGCAAGAAAGGAGCTAGAGCCAAATTTTAAACCATTATGTCGCATGGGTTATGCTGACGTTGTACTGAGTTATTGTTCTGATAGCAGTGACTCAGATGGTAGGTCTTGTGTATATGATAAATTATTTTACGGTTTAGAATAATGAACATTCCCCCCCCCCCCCAAAATAAAGATTCTTCTCCAAGGAGCTAAAAGTAGGAAAAATTAAGAAATTAACAAACCGTCTAAATCATGCAATATGACTCCATCAGTAAAAAATCAGTTATCTTTATTATATTTTATTACTTATATGGTTGTGCTTATACTATATATAAAAGAAATTAGCAACAATTCTTACAGCTTTGTTTTAACTGTGGAGGATAACTGACTGTGTTCCTGCCAGCCCAGGGTGAAACTGTAGAGAATAGTGCTGTGTTTTGCCCAGTCTTATTTAAGATACAGAAGAAAGGCAGTTTCTCCGCTTTCTTTTTCCAAAGTCTTTTTTTTAACTGTGACCAAGATCGTACCTGTCTCATTTATAGTTTTAAATGCTACACGTATGTTTTTACCAAATACAGACGGATTTCCTGTTAAGCAGAATTTGGTGTAGTATCATTGAGGATGCTGCTGAAAGGAGCATCTCATCAGATGCCTCTCAGATGAACCTCTAGGTCACTGTTTCGCTTTGATTTTTTTAAAAAGATGTCTTTTATGAAACTTAACAGTTCTGAAATTTAGAATGCAAATGAAAATGATACCTTAGGGACATTCCCAACACTGTTTCTCATATGCTTTTAGGTGATTGAAGGCAATGTTACAACATATTTTATGTCTTGGGACTTGTTTGATTTTTCAAGGAAATGTGTTTAGTCTAGCTTGTGTTGTATGTGTATTTTTCCTCATCTCTTATTTATACAGTCTTTCAGTTCACTTGCTAAAAGCACTTGATTATTTTCTGCCTCCAGAGGATGCTCTTGTTTTAGCAGGCAGAACACTTGACATAATGAAGAAGTAAATGCTGCGCTGGTAGATGATGACAGCCAAATCTTTTGTAGCCCATTATCATCTCTGTGGGTTTAGTTTACAGCCTAGAGCTGTTGGAAGGTTGCAACACTGGACATATTTTACAAACAGAAGGAAGGCTGAGTACTTCAGAATTATGATGTACTCGCATAAGGGGCACCTTTTTAGCTCTACTAATGTTAAAAATAGATCTGTCTTTTAGTAATTGAATTTTGTTGCATTTAAATTCTGTCTTAAACAGAATGGGTTTTATCCTATCCAATATTTTAGCCAGGTTGTTAGGCCTCGTCTGTTCAGTTACATGTATTTGTTTTACAAGTTCTATTAGATATTTTATTTTTAGCTAGCTTCATCAAGCAGATTTAAACCTAAGTTGTGAGTTAGCTTATTATCACAGGAGGTTGTATATTTATTCATATTTCTATTTCTTTTAAGAAAGTGAACTCTGCAGTCTGACGATTTTTTAATGGAATTTTAAACATATTTATTGACGTGTAATTCCTGGCTGTTCAGGGCTCTGCAACAGCTGTCACCAACATTGTTCTAAATATTGTCTAGCAATAATTTTATTAGCTCATGAAGAGGTTACAAATGAAATGCATTTGTGTGAATTGCAGCTGTAATGTGACAGAAATTGAAGAAAAAACATTGCTTTGTTGTCTCAGAAATAAAAAAAAAAAATTAGAAGTAAACCAGCTAATTTCACTGTCTTGAAGTTATATTGGCTTAATATTGGAGAGTAATGTTTCTGTATACAGTAAGAAGAGGTACTTCTAAGCAAGCAATTAAATTTTCTGATGTAGTGTTGTCTGTCTTCTGAAAGTGTCATAATTTGATCCCTGTTGTTGTGCAACTTTAGGAGCAGGGAACCATCGCTATTTTATGGGATACCTGTTCTTCCTGCTTTTTATGATCTGCTGGATGATTTATGGATGTATCTCTTGTGAGTAAATGTAGTTTTTTGGCTTTTTTTTAATTGCTTATAAATATTTTGTTTATCTCTTGGTATGAACTTTTACGGATTTCTGCCTTATCAGAGTTTTGGATATTTTTATTCTGGAATTGAACTGCATATTAATAATTGACTATATTGGATATTTTGAGTTAGAAGGTGATGTTTTTCTTGTCCTAGATTTTTTTCTTCATCACAGCCAAGTATGTGCATATGTCATGTATTGAAGGAGTTGGGAAAGGAAGAGAGAGCAAGTAAAACTATTTTGGCATGTTGTCATTTTCTTATTTAATTTAATACATTCTAATGTGGGCATTGTGTTGATGTGCAATAAACATGTCTTAAATCTTCTGTATGGTTTTTGACACTTTGGTTTTTCTCTAGACTGGGGTTTCCACTGTGAGACAAGTTATGCAAAGGATGGATTTTGGACCTATATTACGCAGATTGCTACCTGTTCTCCGTGGATGTTTTGGATGTTTCTAAACAGTGTTTTTCACTTCATGTGGGTGGCTGTGTTACTCATGTGTCAGATGTATCAGGTATGGAAGAGCACTTCATTTGTAATACTGAGTCTTGGGAGTGACATACGAATATAAAATAGTTCTGTCATTTAAATTTTAATGTTCGTTATGCAAGACCAAGTGTTCAGTCTTTCAGCCACACTGGAGGAGGCAGGCATGTGTTGTCTCTGGATATTGGGCATCATTCACTTCTCATTCACTTGTGGGTTTTGGTTTTTTTTTTTCAAGAGGCTAAAATACCTACCTCCCACTTTCCATTCTCAGAATGACAAAAAGGCAAAACAGGCCAGAGAAAGGCAATAAGGACTAATAGAGGATAAGACCTGTGGGTCGAACTTCGAATAATGCAGCACGTCATTAGCAGAAAGAGGGTGGTAACTTCAAAGGGGATGCAATAATTTCTTACACTGCTTCAGTGTGATTTGTGATCACATTACTGTACTGTAATCTGACCAAACCCAAGTTTTTCTTTATCCTTTTCAAGGAAAGACAAGTCATACTGAAAGCCTTTCAGTATGACTTAGAAGTCTTTCAGTATGAATTGTCATTAACGAACCGTGAGGCTTACCAATTTAATCTTTCCAGAGATCCTGGAAATAAAAATCTTCCGCTAAGGTGTAGGTAAAACTTTCCAGGAAATTTGAGTTTTGTCGCTTACCAATTTAATCTTTCCAGAGATCCTGGAAATAAGAGATCCGCTAGATTGTAGGTAAAACAGGATCCAGAGATCCGCTAAGTTGTAGGTAAAACTTTCCAGGAAATTTAAGTTTTGTCCTCCTTTCTCTACAATATTGATCATTTACAACGTACATCAATTTCAAAATCTTGTATGTGTGAGCGAGAGCCATTCAGTTTTTTAGAGGTCTTTCCTGCCCAAGACAAATGAGCAGAGGAACTACGTGTATTTTAGGTGTCTTTCAAAGCAGTCTAACCCACCAGACTTCTATAGCAGAATAAGCATGTAGCTTGCTGGAGAGCCTTCCATCATACTTATATCATGATCCATTAAGTTCCCCATTGAGGATTCCTGCTAATACGATCTGTGTACAGATGAATCTTTGAATTATGCCACTTGGAAAAACACATCTCATAGTATTTTGTATCATTAGTGTAATTAAGCAAAATAATTCTAGCATTTGACTTTTTCACTAATCCTGGAAAAATGGAAACCGAACTCACAGTCATATTACTAAATTTCCTAAGAGTTTTACTCGTAGAAAACTTAGGATTGTTCTTGACAAATCTCTTTGGAGTTTGCTATAATGATGGAATTGATAAAGATATTCTCTAATTTGCTTCTTTTGGCTTGCAACTGCACAGCCCCTCCTCTTGCTGTTTGGTGTTTTTTTTTCTCTCTCTCCACCATCAGGTTTGGACTTGTCCTTGTTATTGAACTGGCCTGGGTTATTGCCAAAACACTACCTACTATCTTAGAAAAATAATTTAAAACCTTTACTTCCTACTTCATTAGTTGGTCATTGAGAGCCCATTTATGTACGTAGAGATAAAACTTCACTGCGTTTCATGGAGGCGAAGAAAATGCTTGAGATACTAAGTACATCCAAATGAGGCAAGCCAGCCCAAACTTAACTTTCTCAGTGTTCTTGCTTTTGTAACATGCAGCAGAGTTGACTTTTTATATTTCACTAGGAATGACAAGATTTTATCTTCCTGTACTATAAGGCTGCTAGGGGAGTTCTCACATTTTTGTTTCCAATTACATCACATTACAGTACACACCAGTTTTACATAAGATACCCTTTTAGGCTAACGCAGTTGGAAAGCTGTTACAGAAAATCATAGCCTTTGGGCCAAATGATTCTGTAAAAAGGAAAATGCACAAGCAACAACAACAAAAAACCCCACTCTTTTTCTGGTCATCTTGTTGTCTTGTGGACAGAAAAGTTATGTTGCTGCAACAAATTTATAAATGGGGAAGAATATATTACTGGAGCTACAACCAGACTGTCAAGAGGAAAAGAAAGTGGTTCAAGTGCTGTGTAAAGTAACTCCTGAATCTATTATTTACAGTACATTTCAGCTGACAGTACAGTAAAGGCATCTCTTTATTATGAACTGAGAAGTCGCAGTTTATTCAGTGGTCGTGATTTATTTCTGCACTTAAAAAATGAAACCTTTTGCACAGTCTGGTACAGCTGTTGTATGGTGTTTTATGTTAGGACCTCATAATTTCCCCAGACAAAAATTCCTTCAAAAGAAGGAATATAAAACAGTAAATTTGGTCCTCTCTTTTCAGTCTGGCTTATGCAGGGCTTGTGTTTGCATGTTTTTACATGAGCTAAATTGCTTACTCTTTTTCCTGTCTTCAGATATCTTGCTTAGGTATCACTACAAATGAAAGAATGAATGCACGAAGATACAAGCACTTTAAAGTTACAACCACATCTATTGAAAGCCCATTCAAGTAAGTTTTAAAGTGTAAACATATTTCTTATTTGTGTAGCCTTGCATGTGTTTGAATTGTGCAGCTTGTTGAAACAGAACATAGCTAAATACTCTTAAAGTATTTTCACTACTTGGAATGCTGACTCTGTCAGCTATTTCTACAGTAACACGTTCTATCCAGTTATAAAGGAAGTGATAAACGTTTTGTAGTGCCTCTAGACAGGGATGCTTAAAGACAGAAAATAATGCTTTCCAGCAGTGGTCATATTTTGCTGTGGAGTTTATGGGGAAATATCATCATCTTTATAAATCAGATGCCCAAACCAGAGGTAGTTGCTTATTGCATGGTGTTGATGTTGACCTGGATCTTCACTTCCACACCAGGCACTTTCTCCTGATTGATATTTAATGTGCTGTTGAATTTGCTCTGTGCAGTAGCTCCCCTTGCTCTCTTTACTGTGAGAAAAGAGGCAGCACTTCCTTGCTGCTCAGGAGGAAGAGCATGGGCAAAGCTATTGGTGGGGAAGGGAGCAGGGTGTCCCAGGAACTGAAGTGGGTGTTGCATGGGTGAGACGTGGGCTTTTGGGTATCAGTATGTAAAGGGTAGGTTGGGATTCTGGTTTCTGTAGCGAAGAGGGTGCAAGCTGAGAAGAGGGGCTTGGGGATGATACAGCACTGGGATGGGAATATGGCGGCATGGAGCAGCTTATGGAGCCAAAGCAGGAAATAAGTGAAGGCATGAGGCTGGAATATTGGTGGGTTGAGGACACATTACAGAAGGAGCAGTGAAAGGACAGAAGCATGTCTCATCCTGCTGCATATGCTGTGCCTCCTGTGGGAGCAGCTGCTCTTTCAAGAGACACCCAGGGGAATGGAAGATAGAGGTTCTTGTCGCGGTTTGATTTTGTGCTACAAGAAAAGTTTGTGTGATCTTTTTTTTTAATATCCTTCCATACAGAACTTCTAGTGAGAAATAGACAAGCATGTCTGTATGGTTGCAGTCTTCCCACAGATAAGAGTTGTAACAAAAACATAATTATTTTGCTTGAAGAACATAGGGCGGTGCACAGAATAGGAAAAAAATGCTGGTTTTATCCTCAAATTAATGTCACATTCACAAACCATTTTCACTGAAATAGCTGCTATTATAAAAATGACTCCTGAAAATAACACCAGCTGTCTAAAATAGCTGACTTGGCATCACCTGTCAGGTGATGCATTGACTTCAAGTAGTTGTCATCTCCTTGTTGCTTAGACCTGTTCTTGCATGTATCATAACATGAGCTTCTCTTCCAGAAAGCCGTGATCTGTTCAGTCCATGTGTAATTAAGTTAAAAAAAACCCAACACGTCGGAATTTTGATGAAGGTTTTTTAAATATTTGACAATTAATTGATTCAGCAGCAGAAAGCACTCGAATAGTTCATTTAATTCAGATAATGCTTTCTTAATTTTGTGTTGTCTAGGGACTTAATTGATCTTAGACGTGCAGCTGGTGAACCAGTATGTATGGCAGAAATAGATATTAATAAAAATGGAAATTATTCTAGGAAGACATTCACTTCATACTGTTTTGTCTTGCATCCATCTGTACAATGCAACTTTCCTCTTAGAAAGGGGTATGAATTACCACCTACATGATGATGCGCTGCCAATAACATGTTACATTTCTCCATACAGTTTTGGTAGATAGCGAAAGAAGGTTAGTGTCTTGGTTGTGTCTAAGGATCAAACATTGACCAGTCTGGTGACTACTTATTTCAGAACTTGCTCGTCAGCAAGCACTAAGATAATTTTTCAGTGAATTGGTTTTCTACAGTTAGGAACTTAAAGGGTGAAGAATCGAATTTGTAGGTAGACAAAAAATGTTGTACTTTGTTAGATGAGCTATGATATTGCTTACTAACGTGTTTCTGTTTTGTTTTTAGCCATGGATGTATAAGGAACATTATAGACTTCTTTGAATTCAGATGCTGTGGTCTTTTTCGGCCTGTTATCGTGGACTGGACGAGGCAGTATACAATAGAATACGACCAAACTTCAGGATCAGGCTACCAGCTAGTGTAGCACCACCTTCATCCTGTGAGCATATCATATCTGAGTGGTGCCTGAAAAATTTTCTCTCTCTCTCTCTCTCGAATCCGCATCCCTTGAAGAGTAGCATGCTATGTGTAGGGCTGATGATGAATCTTAAGGTACCTTCTCTTCATCAGAATTTTATTAACAAAAGTAAAAATGGACAGAATAAACTGCCAAACCTGATAAGGAAGAGGAGGAAGATCAAAAAGGGATTTTAACAGTTCTTAACATGAGAATTATTCGCGACACCATATTCACAGTATTTGTTGTTGGGTTTTTTAGTTAAGGTCTTTCACAATGGAGCATGAGATTATTGAAGTATTGACATAAGTAGTTACGTTGTGCGGAGCAGAAAAATTTATTTCCTGGTATGAATAATTCCACTGAAACAAGAATCTAGAATATAAAACTAAATTTCATGCTGCAGCGTTCACTGATCGCTATGTTGTAATTCCTGTAATGTGATTTTTTTAATACAGATTTTCTGTGGTATTACGTACATTGAAAAAATGTGCTTTTCAATACTGTTATAAACATCATGTGGTGGGAATCCCCTGTAACGTGTTCAGTTATAGCAGTAGGGCACGTCATATAATGTTGAGAAAAAATACGTTGCCCACGTTTTTTGGTGGTTGTTTTTGCCACCAGTTAGTGGTACAACGAAATACTTGTAATAACCCTGTTCTGAGATTATATAGTCTGAAATAAACAGTCGTGCAAATAAGGAAAGCTCTTCTGTCAAAGTTAAAGCCCTGCTTAAATGCATGATACACCTGTAAAACTAGATTCTATATAATGTTCAGGAAAAAAGTGGAAAAAATTCATTATCTTTGAAGTAATCGTATAAGCAACTTACAAACTAGCAATGTTTCAATATTAGGTTTGGTCCTCATACGGTACAGTGTAGTGTAATTGGAGACATGTTGGAAGAGAAATTGCATGGGGGAAACCACTGATGTGAAAGCAAAAATCTCAATTATAAAAAGACAAGATAGTTTTAAATTGAATGCAACTGCAGAGGAAGAACCCAAAGTTGTCTGAAATGCTTATTTTGTTTGGATGTAAAATACTGGAAACCAAACTTTAAAAAAAAAAATATCCCCATAATAGCACGCGCACACAGAAAATGTAACGCGGCGTTCTGAAGAAGATGGTGTATTGGCACATGGGAATCACCCTTAATTTCTTTTTTTAAGTTCTCATGCTACAGATACGTTTGGAAGGTAAGGAATGATCTGAAATTGCATTCCAAAGGGGCTTTTCTTGAATGTGATGCACTGATTTTTGTTATGGTGTTTTCATATACTCATAGTGAATTGTTCACTGCTTCCTTAACTATTGTTTACAGAGAGACTGAGAATCAGGTTAGTTCTCTTCTAAGTGCTGTAGCAACCCAGTGGTTCGAGAAACCTGTGAGGTGAGTTTGGGGAGGGACCTGAAAGCAGATGTCTGAGACCAGTGTAAAGAATGTGTATCTGTATATAAATAATTTATCAAACAGTTTTCTCTCTGTGAGTGTGTGTTTAGTGTATTTAAAGCTGCTCATTTTCATTTTATTCAACCAAAAAAAGTGTAGGAAGATATCTAATGAGCTTTTAGTGATGTTCAATATTGCTGTTAATAGGCATTACGCCCTGCAAATTCACTGCATGTTTGATGCTTGGCAAAATTAGCGTTTTCTGTAATATGCAGATTACAGGTAATAAAGCAATCTAGTGGTATTCCCGGCCCTTGCCTTAGTAAGAGGAGCAGTGAAACTGTAAATAGTTGATGTTCAGTATTTGCAAGTAAACATTTTTTTGTAGTTGTTCATTGATCTCAAGACACACACTTAGTTTGCAAGTACCAGATATCAGGATTTACAGAAGTGCAGCATTAGAGTCCTTGAATGTTTAATACTGGAAAAATCAATGTTGTCTTGGACACAGTTTTAATGGGAGAGGTTTGGGTGTAGGGGCGGCAAGAAGCTTTTGCTATTTTTGTCAGACAAAATTTGTAATCCTAATGAAGACACATTCTATTTCAGTGAAAACAGTTGACACCAGTTATTCATATTTTTTTCTAATCAGAAAAAAGCATGAAGACTTTAGAGTGTTGCTTATTTCAGTCACCAGTAATGTTCTGCGTATTTGGTTTGTTGTTGGTTTTTTGTTTTTGGTTTGTTTGTGGGTTTTTTTTTTTTCATTTCTGTTGGGGGTTGGTTGACTTGAAGAACTTCAATCCACTTTATTAAATATCGCCTAGCACCAGAAGAGCAGTTCAGTACGTGATACAAGCTTTGGTTTTAGTTGCCCAGTAGCATTAACTGCCATGAATTGTGTCATGCAGTCCATGTCAAAAATGTTTGCAAAGGAGGAGGTGATCTTTGGTAATACGTGGTGAATAATACGTGGTGAATTCCGCACTATTTACTTGTTAATAGCTCTCTGGTGGCAGTTTTGTTGAGACCTGCAGAATTTGAGCAATAGTAAGTAGTTGTGAAAATTAACTTGCATATGTGGATTTGGGATGTATGAAGTTTCCGGTGCAAAATGTAACTTGTCTTGCGTAATACTGAATCTTTTGATGTGAAATCATAAAATCAAGCAGGGGGGAGCCAACTATGCAGCATTTTTCTGTCCAGTTATCAAACTTATAATTCACTTCTTGAACCAAAACCGCATTGCTTCTGAAACTTAACAAAGCTGATCCAGACCAACAGCAGATCAGACCAACTTAATCTGACATAGGTAGAATAAATGGGAATTTTGTCTTGGCCCTAAACATGTGCTGTTTCTTTGCAGGTTTCTGTATTCTTTGATGTCCACCAGATTTTTTTTCAATTAATGTGTAAAACAGCATCACTACATTTTAAGCTATGGATTTTTTTGTATATTCTTTATTTATAACTGTGCCAAGTATTATTTTAATACTGTCGAGATCTTGATGTATTACATTGTGAACAAAAAACTCTGTAAAATGTTTAATAAATTAGCTCTCCTTACATAAATTAAATCTGTTAAATTTTGTAAGTTATTAATCAAATAAATATTGACTCTTAGATGCAGTGTTTGTCTTGACTTGGGACGTGATTTCACACAGTGTTGTTTCTGTCCAACTTCAGAAGCCGTACCATGAGAAAGTAGCTGCTATCTTGCATCTTATTTTAGTATAGTCTTTCCGGAAAGATTTACGGGTGTCTTAAAGATAGCATGCACCCAATTCTGTGCTGATGTGAAATCCTGTGAACTACTACACTGGGTTTTGGTAAAGTACACCTTTGTACTACCAATTGGAGTTACCATTCACTAATTGGATACTCCTTTCTTTTGAACAAAGCATGCTGGCGAGGTGATGTTTCTTAAGGGAGAATTCCTTCTAGGGAACGTTTTGGGTGGCCGAATGTACATATTTAATGACATTTGAGGTATTCTAAGGGTAAAGGAGACATCCACGTAGGGCTAGTAGGTATGACCAAAATGTGTGCTTCTAGGTGGCACTTGCAGGAGACAGAATACCTTGACTCTTCTGGTCCTTGCTAAAAGTTAGATTTTTGAGTAGAAACAAGGTAACCATCCAAGCTGGAATTTAATCGGGATATTTGTAATCAGCAATGTGTATTAAAGTATAAGGCTAGGACTTAAGAGCACACCTAATGGGGAGAAAAAAGTCTCCGTGTTTTCTGCTGGGTGTGGGTTCAATATTGACATTAATTGAGAATTGTTGCTGCTGTTCTCCCCTTCCCCAAGCAATGGTTCTGGTGAGGCTGGGCCCACGCTCACCTCTGCTGACCACCCTTTGACTTGTCCGGTAAAGATCAGGGGAGGTGCTTTCTTTTGTGAAAAAGACATTCTGTGCAGACCTCCATCAGAGATTTGCAGTGCTCCGTCAGAGCAGTTGCTGCTCTTGGGAGGTATGGGTGGGCTTCTGACGACTTGAAAGCTGGTTACTTGGTTTGTTTTATTTGGGAAGAAGCCTGCCCTCTGCACCCTCATTACGGCTTGATTAGAGTTCACTCCCTCGCATCTCCCATGAGCTGCCTTTAAGTAAAATCGAATATTTTTGCTATGAAACCAATGTTTACTTGTGAACGCTTGCATCTGGATTTTATCCACCTTAGGCTACTGAATGGAGATCAGTAAAGTTGCACCTACTAATTCCAGGTTGAATTTATTTGCAGTATCTTAGAAACTTAGTGCCGTATCATATGAACTTAGTGCCATATGCGCATTGCCTCCAATCCTACATACTACTTCAGATCTCCAGATCATGAAGTCAGAGCACTTTTGAGAAGCAATCCTTCCTGGAATTAGGGCTCCAAACGGAGAGTAACTCAAAGCATTACTCCAGCCTGGGCTGAGCTTTTATTCATCAGTGCTTTGCTGCAGCCGAAAAGTTGACAGTAACCAAGTGAAAGCACTTCAGTGTAGGGCACTCATTTCTCTTGACAAGTATATTGTCTTTATGGTTACAAGTTTTCTTTTTTCCTTCATTTCTTTGTTCTTCTGTCATTAAATAAGTTGTTTGGATGTAGAGCAGTGTGGAGCTGTTAGTTACCGCTATGACTCCCTCCAGGAAATGAAAGGAAAGCCCTTGATTTTTAGCAGTTTAAATCACTTCTGATCGCTGCGTCTGCTCATTTTTCTAAGAATCGAAAGCTCTTTTTTTTACAGGTGAATGAACAATGTTAGACGCCCATTTTTGTCAGCATAAATCGCACCTGCTAGCTGTGCTAATGTGGCAGGTTTAAATCAACTACAGCAGCTACATCAACTAATGGGGAGCAGTTTCATCTGCTCAGTAGCGTGTCGAGCATTATTTTGCTTTCTGTCTATCGAACGGTGCCGTTCAGCATTTTATAATGCCGTTCCTGAAAAGAGGAAGCACTTTCATCAGGTAACGAGGCTATGGAAAGGGGATGTTGTAGTTATCTTCATGTCCTCGGCTGCTGGGGCCTGAATACCACTTCTAAGTTAGAGCTGTCCTTGCTCAGGTTGGAACAGTCGGAGGGGATCAACCCTTCCTGCACACGTGTCAAGTTGGCAAAGGAGAAAAGTACTTTTGGTTTTGGTTTTTTTTTGGTTGGTGGAGGTTTTTTTTAGGAGAAAAGTATTAGGATCATCAGTATGAGTAGCAGGACCAAAGGTCACTGCCCAGGTTTCCTGGGCTGTGCTGTTTTTTTCTGCCTCGCTCCCACCTGAAATGTGTGCTGCTTCTGCCTTACTGTTGTCTTTTTCAGTTGTAATCTTTCCCTCTCTGTGAACTGTACAAGCTCTTGGCTCACATTTTGAGCCGGCTGTCTGTTCTTCCTCATATCCACATTGTTCCTTTGTAACCTGTATAAAATGCTCTTTGTGTGTTATTTTGACTAGTACGTATTTTTCTAATTAGGCTTTTGGCTCGCACTGCTTCGCTGCCTCAGACCGCAGTCGTAGATGTTGCTTGAAACTACCTGAGACCACGCTGACACATTTGCTTACTATTTTATTGTAGCATTCCCAGTCCTGAATGTGTCTCCATAAATTCACTCTGTGAAGGTGTTTTTTTTCCCCAAAAAGTATCAGCCTGCTCTGAACTCAGTTTCAAATCTCATCTTTTCTTTAACTAACTTCTGTTGGGCACGATGAGAGTTGAAACCAAATCTCCCCCTCCACCCCAGAACACCACATGGGTTGTCGCCACTGGGACGGAGCTCGTGCCTCCCCACAGGTGTGGTTGGCCTCTAGCGAAGCCCTTGCTGCGCAATAGCATGCCCTTCACTGGAAGGGATGGAAAGACACTCCTCCAACTGCCTGGTACGTGCTGAGGCTCAGGCATGCTCTTCTGAGGCACGGTTTGTGCTTTTAAGAGGCGTCGATGCCCAGATTTCGTGTGCCTCCTTACTGTAGGCAACAGGAAGCCATTAGCTTTGCAAAAGGAGCTTGGCAGAGGAGCCTGAGTGCACCGGTGAAGGTCTGTTCAGGTGCTCAAGAAATTTAGAAAAAAAACCCCAAATAATAAAAATTGTGAAGCTGCTCATACTAAATGTTGGTTACTTGCAGAAAAATAAGGCAAGTTGCCTTAAACTGGGTGATTTTTGCACAACTGTTTTAGTCTTAAGTACCTCATTCTCACATGAGGCCTTTGTGGTGGGCTAGTCCTGGGTCTCCTGTTGAGGAGGTGACTCCCATTTGCTTCACAAGAAGTGCAGTTGCAGGTGCTATCAGCTCAGGCCTTGCAGGCTTGTGTTGGGAGCTGCTCCAGCCCCTAAAGGAAGCCAAGCTCTTCTGTGAGCTTTCTACTCAAGATCTGGCTAAGGCAAAAGTAATTGTCTCCTAATTGTAGATGTTTATTAGCAGCAGTTCCTAAAGAGTTACGTTAGCAGGGCCAAGGCCCCTGACTATTACAGCTTTCCCCCAGCTGGTGTGTTTGCACGGAGCAGATCTACACTGCATTTGGTGTGTTTAACTGCTATTACTCCTTGCCCATCAACTTGAGGTCAAGTCACGTTTTCTACCGGAGTGTTTAAAGACAGAATTTTATTCTGCTCTGTTGTGCTGCAGCTACCTTGTCAGATGCCATCCTCAAGAGGCTGAAATCCTCCACCGTGTTCAGGGAACTAAGGGTCCCAGCACAAGGTCAAAACCTGCTCTTAAACCTGCGTTTCGTGTGATAGTCCAGAGCTTGCTCAACTGCTGAGTAGGGATGGTATTAATCTGCAGCTGTCTTCGTAGAGTACTCTTTCTGCACAATAAGTCTTGTGTGTGATAGCACCTCAATACCGAAGCAGGTGCTATCCCACAAAACATTACGGTGAAAAAGGTTTGTTTTCCATTCACTAGAGACTCTACGGCAGAGACAGCCAGCCGTTCAGGCACACAGCTCCTTATAATCTATCACTTTCAGAGCTGTGTCACTGCACAGAGCAGTACATTAAGATTCCCTACTTCTGTGCAGTGAGCAGCTAGTTGCCTTGCACATAAGGGTGTGATACCAGAGGACGGCCTTTCACCTCTGAAGGCCATGACCAGTGCTATGTATGTCCAGCTTGCAGTCACGTTGGGCTTTCAGTGAAGGTCTGCACCAAGTCTATAGCATCATATCTCCACCCCTCAAGTACCCCAACAACACTCCCCTTACTTATCTTTTATTGCTCAGAGCATGTAACGCTTGGCTTTAGGATATATCAACAAGCAAAGCTTTATTGAATTGATATTCAGTATTAAAAGTGTTACAGTGTGATACACAAAGCAAGGAAAAAAGCAGTGCTTTTTAAAAAAAATCATCTGCTGAACGTATGCCCAAGCACTACAGTAACTAGTATCTGTTTCACAGTAGTTAGTAACATTTAGGAAACTCTCTTGTTTCTTGTAGCAGGATCTCAGCAGCGCCCTAAGGGTTTTGAGCCCTGCCTCCTCACTGGGCATGAACGAGGGCACCAGCTCCCTGGCCATACCCAAATCCCTTGGGGCCAAAGTTCTTCGCATAACAACCTGCAAGAAAGACGAACGTGTAGTAGCTGAGGCTTCTGGCTCATTAATTAAGAACAGCACTGTCTAGGCTAAGCCCCTCAGCCACTTCCCCTTAGTCAACCCCATCGGAAGCAAGGCTTAAAAACATTTTGTTAAGCTGCCTAACTGCTGTGACTGAACTCAATAGCCATGGCTGTTCGGTCCATGTAGCTCCCAACCTACTCTGTGAAAGCAACTCATACATTGGTTCTGTGGCTAGGTATCTGTTAAGACATATGTTGTCATCAAGCCACTGTGTGGATCAAGTTTATTTCCATGATACCACGCAAGAAGGCATGGCCGGATGCTTACTAGCTTGTGTCCTTACTCTGATCTGCTCTCGGACCCAGGCAGAGGGCACGGGCTGCTGCTGTGTTTCTCAGTATGTAATGTTTTGCTTGATGCAGATGTAAACTACATCAGCAGCTTCAGTAATATTTATTTTGTTTCTCAGCTCTATTCCTATGACTTATAGAGCACTTCCATCTTGACAGGAGCCTGAAAGTTTCTTATACCAGGAATAAATTCAGCACCTGCCCTCGTAACACATTACCTTGAACCATAAACAAGTGATCTTTATTTCTTTCCTCACCTTTACAATAGATTTCTCCCTCTTTTTCAGTTAGGGTTGTAGATTCTAGGCTTTTTCCACACTTGGCACATCGGAAGCAGTTTTTGTGCCACGGCTGGGGGGGGGGCGGAGCAGGGCAGGGAGAGAGAAAAAAAAAAAGATAGTTTAAATACACAGAATGCCTTAGTAAAAAAGAAAAAAAAAGAATAACCGGGGAAACCCTCAATCAGTATTGTTTAAAAATG